GTTGTCGTTTTAATACATCATTATGTCAGCGAAAAAGTTTAACATCTAATAAAACGTAACCTAACACAGTACAAAAACGACACTAGTTTGCAATTGTATGTAAAAACTCTTTAAAAGAAAACCACAACTAATAGATTTTTTTTTAATTCTCTTTAAAAAAGGTAAACTTAATTATGAGAAATGTATACTATGCGGTGTCATAATACCTATGATAGTTACGGGAAATTGAAAATTAAAATAAATATTAAAGTCTACAAATTATTCCTTCAAACTATATTTAATTTAGCAGTTATTCATTGTTGATCTTCATAATTTAAACATATTTTAATATTTCGAAAAATACTTGTCTACTTAAAAAGCTAATTTGGTAAGCACCCCTGTTCCATAATAAATTAAAAGTAAAGAAAAACTGGCAACTCTGCAAAGCCTACTAAGTTCTTGATCGCGAACACCTGCTGGGTCTTGGATTTATTTTCATACAAATATTTCATACCTTTATTCAGTTAAAGACGCAATGCGACAAACGTGCTCAGAGTTCAGGCTGTCCAGGCCAAAATATGCGTGTCACATTGTCTGATTATGAAAATAGCCACCTTGCGCCACTATATTTCAAATATTACCAGGTAAGCTAAAATATTCGTAATATTATGTAAAGTTCTAAATAATTATAATAAATAATAAATCGTTTATTCGCAAAGAAAGTGGTACATTCAGATTGATTAATTAAAAAAAACCGCATAATCTGCCATATAATAGGCATTTAAATGTCAAATAATAAGAATGGTTATAAGAATAATTAATTAACAATAAGAATAATTAATTATCATAATAATAAGAATGGTAAAGTTATTTTTTAATCGTTATCAAAACGTATGGTCTAAATACTCTATGCTAGGAGCATTTAAATTAGTAAAATTATTTGTTAATTTAGGATTTAAGCCTACAAACCCTACATAACAGCTGAGTTATAAACTGTGTTTTTTACAAAATTATAATTAACATTTTTTTCAGTAAACTACATACATAATACATATATATATATAATATATCAATTATGCCAAATGATCTCTGAACCAGAACACTAATTTGCATTAACAAACCCAGACTAGAATACACGTGGATCTTTAGTGTGATCTTACCCACGTAGCATCCAGACGTTAAACCGAAGTATAAGAACTGAATCAGTTAGGTGAATCTGATCGAAGTATCGGTGGTATTTAGTATTCATGGTAGATATCCGAGGCTACGCACGTTCACCGCACTCCTGAAAGTGTCGCGCCCGAGAATTTGTAAAACCGTGTGAATATGTAAATGAGTTATGGACATTTGCTATGAGATTATGAAGGCCAAACGTATGTAACAACACGTGAATAAAATAACACAACTAAACTTGATACAAAAGAGTATAATATATTGAAGTATCATTTTTTATATGTATGATTTTATATTCTACATAAAATAAAAATACACTTCTTCATTGTCTTCATTACGTCGTGTTTTGAAAAGCCCTAACCGAGACGTCGACTTTTCAGTGCATTACATTCTACATAATGAAGGCGAAATAACATTAAATGTGAATAAATAAACGAAACGAAATATCAGATATGGTATTTGTGATAAGTGCCAACAGCACTATGTAGGTGAGAATACTGCGAATGGCCAACTCGCATAATTTTACCAACTAAGCCGGAATATGAACGAAATTCCGGGAAAATCTCAGCGTGCAACATTAATCATTATTGTCTTAGTGTGTGTTATATGTGTAATTCGAACAATAAATTTTGAATGAAATAAATTTGGGCTGATCAATTTAAAAAAAAGCAATGTTAAGGGTCTATCTGATAACTATTCCACTGTTTTTCTATCATTTTTTGTTTAACAATAGGCAAAAAAATACTAGCAGAATCTAAAACTGGAAGTGCAATGTTTTTATATTTTGTAACATTTATGTTTACCATAACTTTTGTATATTTAAAAAAAAGATAGCTTGTTACATCATATACTGTAGATATAGTGCCTAGTGATCTTTAATAAATAAATAAATGAATTAACTCCAATTTGTAATTATCGTATATTTTATGTTTGTATGTCACTATAAGCGCACTCAAAAGGTCCATGATGATTGGCGCGGAGCTGTCAAAAGGATCAAGCCATGACAAATTACCACTCTGCTAAATTACCGCACTGATTGGAAGATCTTAGTCAATACATTTTCTCTTACTGTAAACTGTACTCTTTAAAACAATAGTTGTTCTTTAAAATTTGGCCCAACAAAGTGTTGTTTTCATTCAATTTACATTATGAAAGGATAAATCTACTGTCCAAAGCAAACATTCAAATGAGACAGCCCGTCACCCCTTGCGAATTGTGACGTGATTTGAATAATAAATATTTGTATTTATACAAATTATACGTTTATATAGAAGTTTCAAATCTCTCCATTGTTTTGATTTATGTGTACTCTTTGAAATGTATAATCATAGTATTCTATTCGTCTAATAGACCAAATTACTATACTAATATCTGTAAATTTTTTCTTGCCATGCCATGACCATAAACAACGCTTTTGTAATAAATATTCAAAACTTGGTCCATATAAAACTATTCGTTACACCTGAGCAAAACTAGCAAATTGGATAGACAAAAGGAGCAAAGATACGTGGAATGCCAAAATAAAGAACAATTTGGTAAAGCCCCAAATTCCTTCGTACGGCCTTCATTAAACAGGTGGGCCTTTACTTTGGGAATGCAATAAATTTCTCGTTATCAGCCCTCACTGTTCGGGAAAGGGAACGAATCGGCTGCCAGCAATTAGTTGAAATACCAATTAAAACAAATTCGTCGTGAAAACCGTAACTTTTCAAAGGAGTCGACACATTTTGGCAAAATAATAGGTATTAAGCTCCTTCGAGCATTTAGTTATTTTTTTTTAATGGGTTTGATTTAATTTATGAAGCAATTTTTCGTATTTATTGGGGTACGTTGTTTGATAGATTTTTTTTACACGAATACTTCTAAGAAGGAAATTCTAGTTTGAATGTTTCCATTAAATATAAGTTTCAAATTAGAGATCCTATGAAACATACCCATTCTAACTTGAGCTTTACTGTTATGACATTAATTTTTTGTGAGAAAATCATTAATCTAAAGTTAAAGCAGAAAATTTCTAGTTCCCGGATTTCCCAGCTTCCCAGCCGGCTACTGGCTTCGGCTATAGGAAACTTTTCTTATGTAGTTTTGAATTACGAAAGTCGGTAGATATGAAGTGTTACTTACACTTCTCTAATAATAAAAATACGCATTTTCATACGTTTTACGGCCAATAGTAGTTAATTCGTTTCGATATATAATTTTGAGTTAAAAATAGCCAGTAATTTGTTTACAAAGCTCGACTGAATAAAGACATAAATTGTTTTACAATTATCGCCAAAACATAGTAGTATAAGATCCCGCTATACAACGACCTTCACCGAGATGCTTATTTAATGAAACTTATTTTATATATAATTTAATATGTCAATAAATATAATCCATATGGGTTGCCTAGCAAATTTCAGTCCAGAGTATGTTTAATTAATATTAAAAAATTTTTTTTTTTTTATAATTTGCATGTAGTAAATTTTTTGAACTTTTTTCAATCAATATTTTTAATCAGGGTAGTATTATATATGTATCACTTTAACCTTCTTTTATACTAAAGATGTATATATACTTTCGTGTCACATAAAAAATATACACATAAATAATTAATTGATTAAAAACAACCTAACGTTTGCATATTCTATGGGCTTCATACGTTCGATTGGTATAGAATTTATCTAATAATCATACCGGTGAAATGTTTAAAAAAATATTTTTTTTTAAATTAATTAAACATACTCTGGACTGAAATTTGCTAGGCAACCCATATGGATTATATTTATTGACATATTAAATTATATATAAAATAAGTTTCATTAAATAAGCATCTCGGTGAAGGTCGTTGTATAGCGGGATCTTAGACCATAGGTTTTTGCTTTCTCAATTGACTAATTATTGTTTTCGATTTATTGTAATTTTAAAGTTTTTTTTTAAAACCAGTCGTTGTTATTTGTTTATGTATAGACAACATTACCAAATAGGTTGTTATCGATATACCTACCATACTGTAACACTTCCACAGCGTATCGAAAGATGAGCAAAAAAATCTTGGAATTGTAATATTATAATACTCTCTCTTTTCCTCTTTTGTGTGTTATTGATTTACTAGTTCACATATCTATTATAAATAGGTAATAATGCAGTATGCTGACAAGCGGATATGTGGTTAACCAACGATAATTATAGGGCGTTAATTACAAAAGTATTGTTAGTTTGTTGTTTAAAATTATTAAAACCTACTGAAAATTATGATATTGATAAAAAAACTGATTAATTTTAACTTATTTTATTTTTATTTTTTATAATATATTACTGGAGCCCACGAACAAAGGCGTCACTTACACGTGGATACTGAGGCTATTCAACTTCTTGACACCACGGACCTAGTGAGAATACTAAAAAGAAAAAAACCATTTTATGTAGTGAATTAGCATGAGTTCACGTTAGTCTTAAGTGCTAAACAGTCGTAAGTGGATAAAATATAGTACACAAGAATAGAGTGTCTTCCCATTAATAGACTGTAAGTAGTGTTACTGGACACTTTCTTATGTTAAATATCCTTTTTAGTAAATAAGGTTAGTTTTAAATTACTTATTAGTCTTACGTTAGTCTAGATCGTAATGTTAAATGATGTCTTTGTGCAGAGACAATTTATAATAAAAAAAATATGGTATCTATACACTATATATGCTATAATCTACTATAATCTGATTAGTTTGCATGTGTATACAAAATTATACCTAATATTTAAATGATTGAATAAAACTAAAGCACATCTTAAGTATGTATGTTACACGGTTCTATGTATTATGTTCTATACAGAATATCGAAATAAAAAAGGAGAATAGATATCCTGCTCTATGCCTATCAACAATACGAAGTTCGCAAGTTATACCGAAGTTATAGTAGCCGGTAATTTGCGCATACTGTCAGTGAATAAAAGTTTGCTTATACTTCTTAGTCGTTTATAATATATAGTTCAGAAGCTTGTTCTGCTTTCTTTTGTTAATATTTTATATTGCCTGCTATCGTATTACTGCCAATTTGTCCATATGAAGCATCTCTCCAAGTTTTAGTTTTCCACTTGGTAGGGTGTAACGATTTTTGGTCAATTAGGAAATAGTGAAAGTAAAACTAAATTTATAGATACATAATAAAATTAAACTTCCCCACTGGTGCCGCAATGCACGATTTGGTTCGACGTCCCGTATAAATAGCAAAGGAGTTCCACTCCTTGCCCCATTCCATCTTCCCTCCGCAGTATGATATGGGTTCGTTCAAGCGGCGGTTAAACAGGCATATCCTGGACAGACGTGCTCTCCAGTAGGCCACATTTCACTTAACATTAGGTGGGATTGGAGGCAAACGTCTGTACAGTTATGTAGACTAAGCAATCTTTAACCTAATTTTGTTTTGTGTAGCTGTCAAAACACAGTTATGTCAATTTGGTAGACGTCAATGTGAGAACTAAATTGAAAATGTCAGTCAAGTCTCTTAGAGATGTTCCGTACCATTTAGTCTAATAGTATGTAAGAATTTTGTCAATGTAAAAAAAAAAAGTATACTTACGTACGTACTATGTTCCACTTCATGCCATGTTTTATTTTCTTAATAAGGGAGATGTTACGTATCTATGATTTAATATTATCTATGGTTTTCCGTTTCCTGTAGTATGTCTCGGACCGCCAGTCATGGCTGAATATATGTTTATGAATAACAGTAATGTCGTCTTATTTTAATAAACGCCAACCTGGCCACCCACCATAACAATAAGCAATCTTACAGCTAACATACATATTATAAAACAAAACACTTAGACAATACAGAAAGCCAAAACAGATTACATAGATAAACAATATATACGAAACAGAAAACAAGTAAGTACATTAATAGACATAAATATATTTAAAAAAACTAAAGAAAACTATAATTTAAATTTGAAACAACAAATAATACTTAATATTTCAATATACTGCTGAAACAAAATCAGAGTCTTCCCGCCTCTTCAAATACTTTCTCACATCTTCTTTGGTAAGGTGGAAAATATCAATATCCTCATAATTGGTGTCATAGTTAAATTAAACCCGATACATTGGCGAATTATGCAGGTAATTCGAGTTCTTACGAGGCACATGGAAGAATTACTATTAAAACTTTGCTTAAGGTATTCAAGTCATAAATGATAGAAGTTCTGAGGCCTTTTATCATAATTGTGTCATTACTATCAATTTGATCGAAATATACGTTGAATTAACAGAAATTGTGTCTTTCAACCCCATTGTTCATTTCTATTGTTAAGATATAAAGCATCCTTCATCCATAAAACAGCAACCGTATCTAAGCATAGAGGAACGCTTTCATCTCAATGCTTTTAAGACGTCACTCGTGATTTTTACGACTCCCATAAAGATGTTTCCAATAAAATAGTTTCTCTTATATACGTTACGATACGAGATAAAAGACCTTTCTTTTCTCAAGTCTTCAATAAATAATATATAATAAAGCTAATCGTTTTTAAAACTGTCACTCTGACGACGTGAGATTTCCCACAAAAACAATTGTTAGTTAAGTCATTTAAATTTCAATAGTTAAGCAATTAAAAATATACATAGATTATTTATTTATAGATTAAAGACCTTTGTCGTTAAGCGACTCTCTTTTATTTAGGATTATTTTTAGTAGAACCCATCATGTTTATTGAACTCATGTTCCTACAATCAAATAAATTCTGATTTCAGATTCAGAATTTGAAGACTTGGGTGAGCAGCTCCCGCGGTACCGGCCTGACTCCATCGCAGCTTTGCGGCGGCTGACAAGGTTCACAGAACCAGAGCTAAAGAGACTCTATCGAGGGTTCAAAGCAGAATGCCCAACCGGTGTCGTCCGAGAAGAAACCTTCAAACTTATATACTCCCAGTTCTTTCCACAAGGAGGTAAGTTATCATCCGTCTAAAACAGACGAATAAATTATATAATAGGTTTGACACCGAAGGAATATCTTATACTGATCATTTAAATTCCTCTCAAAATCTAGGTTCAAGGTCACCAGTTTGACTTCACCAAAATTTTACTTTCAGACAGCAAAATATGTCACAAAAAACCACCATGTTTCACCACAGAACACAAAATTTCACTCGTATTATCTAGACGTCCGTCGTTCCACAACTGAGCGTTTTTAGGCAGTTTTTGCCGATGTAATTCCAAACCATGAATTTGTTGAGGATGCTTCAAGAAAAGAGCGTACCAATTCTTAAAAGCCGGGCAACGCTCTTGTAATCCCTCAGGCAATGTGAGTGTCTTTGGGCGGTGTCGCTTAACATCAGGTGAGCCTCCGACCGTTTGCCCCTTATTACATAAAAAAAACCTCAAACAGCTTCAAATGTGCACACAAATTTTCCAGTGTCCTGGGAAGTACACAAAATCTTTCTGCAAATCGATGGAGCAATATTTGTATAATCTCGAGAATCGAACATAAAAATGGTTCCGACCGCTCACACTTTGATCTTTTTATTAAATGCGCCATCTAGTTTCGAGTGTAAGAAACGTTCACACATCAGGCGAATCTGTCACTGTATTTAATTATTGTTTCTTACGCTTGGGACAACAAAAATCAACTTATATCCTGGTATATTTTAGTTTTGGATCGCAATAAATAAAGAATTACAAAAATACCACTAGTTTTATTTAATCCTAAAGGTGACAAAGAGCTGAGAGAGCTGTATTGGATTTTGAACCCCCCACGCATCACTTACCCCCTTACGCCATACCCCATCACTTTACAAAACCGCTTGAGGTTAAGTTAACACTGTGTACGCATAGTAAACTCTACATTAATAAATGCGAAAAGTTGTTTGCGTAATAATCATTTAATCAACCGATTTGTGTGAGCTTTGAATTGATAACGAAGAGCGCTTTGAAAATTACATACGTTAACTAGTATCGAACTCAATTGAAGTATTGAATATGTTGTATAAAGGCATGTTTATACAGACAATTTTATATTTTACCTATAATTGTCTGATTTTATCTCGTATCTGGTGAATTGTTAAAAAATTGCGCCTGTTAAAAATGATTAGGCTGCTGTAAATATTTTTACCTTTTTACAAGGCGCAGTATGTCTACACTATTTGATTAAGAAAGAAAGAAAATTAATTCGGTAATATAACTTATATAAAAAACAAAGACCTTATTTCAAAAAAAAATATATTTAGTTATGCCAAAAATATTAGAGAAGTATAAGTGTTAAGGCACATATTTTGCGGCCTCTTGATTGTGGCATAGGTGATAAAATATAAAAAAAAACATATATACTACTTATTCATTCATAATAGCAATATTTCAGTAAGCAATATTGTAACAAAAATTAGACTCACATTGACATACAATTTGAGATGATTTTTTCAGGTTTGACCCTTATTTTACTGACATTTTTTACAATCATATTGTATTTTTTTTAAATCTAGTTAGTAGAAATTAAATTAATAGAATTTATATCAAATAAGCAGCGGAATATTCGAAATTGTAATCAAATTTGTAAACAACTTATCCATTCGCCATGTCATTTTATAAAAAGTATAACAATATAAAAGCAGTAGAAAAAGGCGTCTCCTACCCTATGCCTCATACGGGGCACACATATAACCAATATTATGGACAATCATAAAGAATACGACATACAAGAATGAAGCCATTCGCGCAATTAAAAAATAATTATTATTAATAAGAAGAATCTTGAGAAAAAAATAGGGTAGTTAGAAAATTTACCTTTATTCGTTATCTAAGAAAACCTCAAAATAATAAATTAATTTGTGTATAGTATAAAATATATCTAATTATCAAAAACCCTTTTTATCGGTGTGCAGGTTTAGCCTTCTGGTAGTACGTTCGATTCTTGGTATCTATAGAAAAAATATCATTTACGCACAAATTTATAATGTTCCCCAGTCTAATTACTTCATATTGAGTACCAGAGGTTGAAGAATACAAAAGTTAAGTATTTTAATTTTACCTATTACCTACCAAGAGTCTAGAACTATAAGTCCATGCAAAAGAAAATTAGAAAATAAAAAAAAAGGGTGCGTGTACTTATGTACGCGCGTAAGAAGTTATACTTCTTTGGCATTATTAAAAATAGTTTTTGATTGCATGCAAATAATTAATTACAATTAAATAATCAAAGACTGGAAAAGGAGTCATTATAGTCAATTAAGTTCAGTTTACATTTGAAAAATTAAATAAATAATTATTTATTATTATTCTCTTACATTAAGTGTAACATAAATTCTATTTAGTTAAAAGTATATATAATTATATATTTAGAACATCTCTACCAAACACTAAGACGTATGTTGTAGCTTTGGCAGTATTGCACAATATAAAATTAATAAATTTCTTTGAAAAATTAATCAAAACTCCTTTATTTGTTTAAAAGGTAAATGACAAAATATGTCATTATGGTCATTCAAAATTCTTGGCATACGAACTTCACGCATATTCTATTTCTTTTTACTTGTAGATTGTCTTATTCCTATCTCGCTCGCGCACGCTATAATCACACTCCCAATTTTGTGTCACAGGTGCGCGCGCATCGTAAAATTTCACTCTCATAAATTTTTCATAACGCGCCTAAAGAAGTATAACTTCAAAAACCGATTATATTATATCGATAGAGCAAAGACAAGCTCTACAGAATCGATAAATAGCACAACACTGACCTCTACGTGGCAAGAGTGATGGCACATCACTACCAAAGGCGTCAATTTTTAAATATTATGTTTTAAAAAAAAATACATCTAGACGGACGTTTTCATTTAATTAATTTTTATTTTATTTTTAGATTTGGATCAGTAGTCTAGTTAGTTTATGTATATATATTTGTTATTTCTTGTTTTATTTAATAGTGTAGTAAAGAGAAGTTTTATTGGTAAGTTTTTTTGTAATATTTTTTCTCCTTATGGACCGCTATGACCCTGGGCGAGAAGTCCCTGTGCTTATATAAAATTTAAATATGATCTGAATGAAAAGATGATCTATAAAGTCTACAGTTCTCAAAACAAACCACTTCACATTCACCCATTAATAAAAAAATATCAAATCAATCAAACAAACAATTATTATTCTTTAAATACCAAATTACACTCTCCCTTTTAATATCACAACCAACTAACTAATTCCTCTATAATATAAAAACAAATATACACGTTTAAATATCACAAGTGATCAGCACCATATGTTGTTCACATAAAAGAGTACAGCAAACTCCAAATGATAGTGTTTCATCACCCAATTGCTTTTGGTTGTTTCTTAAAAAGAAATTCAATAACAATATTTTAACGGAAGCTTAAAACAATTGGCCTAATAGATGTCTCTTCTTTTATAATTAAAAAATTCCTTCCTAAACAACTCTCTTTACAATCAGTCGAGTATAAGGTTTTTATCCCAACATTTACTGTTACCCGTATGGGTGTTGTAAGATATACCTGCTATGTAGATGAAGAAATTAGGAAAATATTAATTTACCTGTTGGATGCGTCAATTTTAAAAGTAAGAAGAATGAGACGGGTATCATTACTAGTAATGGCAGTAGTTTAAGCCTACTGAGACTGTGGTTCTTACATTTGATGGACAAATACTACCTAAACGAATTTTTATTTGCTACACTCTCTCCCAGTTGATCTTTAATTTTCCCAAATACATGTTAAATTGTTCAGATTTGGTCATGTTAAATCATTATGTAGATCAAAACCAAAGTGTTTCAAGTGTGGCCAAGACCATTCAGCTGATATTTATCCTAGAGGAAGATGCATACTGTTGTTTATGCCAAGGTTCCCATTTTCCACAAGTAAAAGATGTTTAGAATTTGATCCCAAAAAGCATCAAAGAATTATGCCAAGACTTATTTTACGCTGAAGCATCTAAAATTATGCACCTATTTCAAAAATGTCTTATCTGATGCTTTACTTTCTTCTTCCAATGTAGGTGCTTCTACTATTTCTCTCCTCAAAATAAAGTATCATAAACAGTCTTTGAGTAACTCTTACAAAAGACTGTTTTTCTTAAAAAAATTATTCCTAAACTATCCAAAGGTTATAAAAATAACAACAACAATTAATTAAAGATTATGATATGCCCTCACCCAGAAATGGTTGTGATTAAACTCAAACAACAATAATGATTTAATTAAATAATTGCAGACCTAATAAAAATTCTATTAAACTTTATCACAGTCTAATATTCTTTCACCGTCCAACGCTGCTCCTTTAATTACACTATCGTTAACTTACCAAATTATATTAATAATGAAACAACAAAGCTCTACAGTGGAATGTAGAAGTGCTTAGTCTAAGAAAAGTGATATTATTTATCTTATAAATAAATATAAACCTTTTATCTTCGCTCTACAGGAAACCTGGTTAAAACCAGGTGCTCCTTGTAGGTACTCAGGTTATGCCTGTCTCCGTGAGGATGTATTGAGGGTATGGCAGTTCTTACTATCAAAATATCTTCCTTTTTCTATTCTATTCCTTTCATAGTAATGATTTTTAATTATTGCTGCTATTGTTAATAATATCTCTATGTTTCAATATATATTCCTCATCCTAGTTCTTCTATTTTGTTGAAATTGATCTATCATTTCTACTCTTCCTAAGCCTTTTATCTTATTAGGCGACTTTAAAGTCAACATAGTTCTTGGGCAGTTCACACCAATTCATACGGAGTTTCATTAATGGCATTTAAACTCTCATAATCTTTGCTTTTCAACGATGGTTCTGTGACCCGGGACCTCTCCCAATGAAGGCTCAATTCCCTGATTTAAGCATTTGTACTCCTAGTTTAGCTTCCACTATTTATGGTCTAACTTTTTCTTCATATGGTAGTGACCACTTCCCTTTACTTCTTAGATTTCCTTTTCATATTAATTTTACATTTAGACAATCTCCTAGATTAAAACATCGACTTAATAATGCTGACTGGGATACCTTTAAATCCCGTATAGAACACAAGATGACTTCCCTTCCTAATATCTCACATGGTTCAGAATAATTTGTGCTGATGCATTAACTAAATTATTTATAAAGTAGCTACAAAACTTTTCCTTAAAAATGGTGCTCTGGGCTTTATTCCATCTCCACCTTGGTGGATCAAGAATGTTATATTAAAAAAGGAAACAAGTTGAGCTCCAATATTGTGAGAATTGTACATCTGCAAATTTTGATCTGGTTACAGATGCTTTCAAGGCCACTAGTTTATTATTCAAAAAGAAAAAAGCAGATAGCTGAAATCTTTTTGTTTCTATTTCCCCTAATGTGTCTTCTTTGTTGCGTAATATTAGAAGATTCATGTGCATTTACTGAAACTTCTGGTTCTCTCCCTATTCATTAACTAATCAATTCCTCGACAGACTTGCTCCTACTACAGCTCCTGAAAGAATAATTATGCCTCTGATGCCATTGAACCCTCTGTCTCAATAGTCCATTTTCTATGTATGAAATTAAAGGAATACTATCTTCAGTTATAGACTCTGCTCCTGGTGACGATGGAATCCCATATTCCTTCATCTCTCATTTAGGTGACCAAACTCTTGAATATTTCCTGAAATTGATAAATACACTCATGTTAACCGGTTCTATCCCTCCACACTGGAAAAACCAATCATTTACCAATTCTAAATAATAAAAATCCCTCTAATAAATTATATCGTCTATTCATTATCTTGGTTTATAAAATTTAAATTTGGTAAAACTTTTAATGTTTTAAAAAATAAATTATTTGTACAGTCAATTTGGTTTCCGTGAGGAAAGTACATGACAGTATTCCATTTTATACTATATTTTTTTAATTTTCAAGAATATTTTTTTCCAATTTTTAGATTAAATTCTTATAAATGTAGTGTTGTAGTTCTCCATAAAAACTAAATATTTAATTACTTAATTTATCAAATTTTATATAAATACTTTACACGAAAAACATCACTCTATTTAAAACTCTACTTTTAAGAACCTTATGGAGAGGTTTTCAAGATAGTTTAAGTCAATTATATAATATTTATACCATATTTAAAGTTTTTTAATGTATTTTATTTTATATGCTGATGACCTTATTTATTATTATAATACCCATTTTCTCATTACTGTCTATTTTTAATTTTTAAAAACTTGGCTTATACTAATGCCTTGAAATATCCCCCACTAAAAGTGTTCCATCTTTTTTCTAGAATCACTCCCTTAATAATGTTATTTTGGTAATAATATTATCCCTTTAAGAATATTGAAGTTCCTTGTGTTTTTTAGATTTAAGTTTTAAATATTTATACATTTTTAATAGTTGACAAACCTAAAATTCTTAATTTTATCGTTATGGTGGGGTCCCATCCCTTTTTAAACTTATCTACAATCTTTAATCCAAGTATTTTAGACTATGGTACTTTTTTATTATTTAAATCAACCCTTTTAAAAAATTAGATAATATACAGTTAAGCATTAAATTAATCACAATATAAAATAGTCCAATTAATGCTTTAAAGTAAATGTTTATCCCCATTAATTTAGACGACAATATTTATTATAAATTATATTTCGCTCTTCAATATCAACATCCTTCTTCTAACTTAAAACTGTCTCAATTGTAATCTTAAATTACTGGTAAATAAATTTACCTTTCTTATTTAGCTTAATAAATTTATAATATTCAATAATACACCTTAATTACCCTTTATTTGGAATAATTTAATTTTAAATAGTTCCCAGACATTAGTTTCAATATTGGTATAAATAAGGGCGATTCCCACCAAGATTATTTTAATTATTTCTTAACAATACTACCACAGTACAATTAATATTTAAGATCATCTAACATGGTTCGTATGGTAGTGTAGGAATAGGAGTATTTCCTACAAATAACTACAATAAAAATAAAGTTTCCTCCAAGTCCTCAATCTTCACAGGGAATGTTACGGTATCTTTAAAGCTATAAAACTAGTTTTGAGTAAGAAACTTAAGAAATCAATCATATTCAAGATTCACTTAGTCTCTTCAAGCTCTAAAAATATCATTTAAAAACAAATTAATTTTTCCTATCATTATTGAGATTAGGGGTTTTTTTAATGTAACAATTGGGTTGTCTGTGTCATTTGGTTATACCTGGACATTCTGGTATTTTTTAACATAACCAATACAAATGAAGCTGTTAAGGATGGGATGCTAATTTAAAAATTATTATCTGATTTGGCCTCACTTCCTCTTCTTTTCTTACAATCTTGGATGATTTGATTCAGAGAGTTTAATTAAGGGTAAATATTTTTCATCTATAACCCACAATACCATTAAGCCATGGTTTTTTAAAATGAAATTTAATAAAAAAAAATTTCTATTTATGAATCTTACCCCACCCACCTTCCAGATTTCATATTATTGATAATGAAATGTGTGAATGTGGGCTGAATATTGGTGATTTAAATCATATCATTCTGTCCTGTCCCTATAACCATCATTATTCGATATCCTCATCCTTTTCCATATCTTACCTAATCTGTTCCTGTTCTGCTTTCATCTTTAAATCATAATGTATATAAAAAGTTATGTTTATTTCTTACTGTAAATAATATAAAATTGTAAATACATATGTATAAAATCGTATTCTATATGATATATATTTTATTAATTATGTTCCTTTCCATAATGTAGTATTTTTGTATTAGAGATAGTTTTATAACCTCTATCCTATCTATATCCGATGTAATTTTCTTACAATGTAAAATTATTTTTCCTTATATTCGTTTTCCTTACCTTTGTCTTGGAATAGCTCTCTGAAGCTATTTAAAAAAAAAAAAAAAAAAATATTATGTTGGCATAACTTCTTTAGGATACGGAAGTTCAACAATAATCTCTTATTAATTCATACTCTTAAAAGTTTAATTTGTTAAATTAATTCATATTAATATATCAAAACATCTAGAAATATATTTCAAACTATTCAATAAATTAATTGAAACAAATTAAAATTTAAAAAATATGAGTATCTAATCGTGTTGTTAAAATACAATAAAATTACGCAGTGTTTATAAAATATTATGCGTATTACAAAAAATGTAAGGATAATGTTATTAATCTCAATACCTTAAAAAAAGTATACAGCGCAGTAGCGCGGCAAATTGCGCCGTTGGTTTCGCGCATTTATGTTGGTAGCCCTGCTTTTCAAGCCGCTGTGAACAGTGGACGCCATTTTCGTTTTTCATTCCTCTAACGTGCCGCGAGTGTAGTGATATTGATTTAGTTTTTGTTCAATATTGTGCTTCAATATTACTTCTGATTTTTATACAAGTGGTTTACTTAGTTTTTAAAAATGGCAGATGAAAAAAAGGTAAGAAGTGTCCTATGTATTCGTAGTTTGGCCCTCTGAAGCTTTGTTCATGTTCAGATATGGCGTTCAGTTGCAATGTGGTCAACTAATATTTTTACTAGATTTTCGGCACGTAATTACTACATATTTTCCCATGTAATTTCAGGGCGAGAGCGAGCACATCAACCTAAAAGTTTTGGGGCAAGATAATGCGATTGTTCAATTCAAAATAAAAAAACACACGCCACTAAGAAAGCTCATGAACGCGTATTGTGACCGTGCTGTAAGTACTGTTTTATTTAGTGAGAAAATCTAACATTTAAATTATCACGGTGCTCTTTTAATCTATTGATAACAATATTTTATCCGCATATACAACTTATTTGTTTTCGGAGCAACCGGCAGAAATGATGAAAATGGTTGAGGTTAAACAGGGGAATACTATGACACATAAACAGGGCGTTCACATTATCTTCTCTGTGGATGATTACTATTAAATCCCTAAACAAGCTTTCACTTGGCATTGCCTTTGAAATCATTCGGTAACGTCATTAATGTAACTTTAGCAGAATATGCCACTAATTTTGCCTTGATAACCACAACAAATTTTCTAAAGTATATATAATGTAGAGTATGCTATTTTTTATTAGATGGCTTACCCTTAATTCTGTAAAGTTAACAATTTTGCCACCAGTTATAAATTGAACTTATGAATGTGTTTTGAAAAGCAGTTGGTTTTCTAAACACCTGTGTTCTCCGCTTGTTAGTTAAAATTTACTTGATTTCTTATCTAATTCAACTGCTCATGTTGTATTCCGATTCAAAGTTAATAAGGTGAAACAAATTGTATAAATACAATAACATGTTTAATTTTTTAATATTTACTCATATTATGCACATGTCAATGTTTGAATTTGTTTGAATGCAGCAATCAGCAATGTAATGTTATGAGTAAAGTAGTTGTTGTAGTTAAACTTTACATATTGTTTAACTAATGCGTGCAAGAGTCAAAAATTATAGTTAAAACAGTAATGGCCATAACATAACATATTTCAAACAGTATGAAAATGTATGTAATTCATGGTTTAGTGGTAGATAAATGTATTTTATTTTATAAGTAATTAATACTCTTTTTTTTCTTTTTAGGGACTCTCAATGCAGGTTGTCAGATTTCGATTTGATGGACAACCAATTAATGAAAATGACACACCTACATCCCTAGAAATGGAAGAAGGGGATACAATAGAAGTCTACCAACAGCAAACGGGCGGAGTATTAGTGTAAATTGTTGTTTAAGGAACTGTCCAGCTCAGTGGGATATAGAGGGTTTACCCTTCTCAAAACCTAATTTAAGTTAATAATAATAACATATTTTTAATAGTATTGAGACTTGAAGCTTTTCATTGTTCATTCCATCTTTGACAGTACTACAAAATGTCATATTTTTTATTCTTTAATAATTAAAAAACGAGAAGCTATTCACAATCTTTTGTGACGTTACCTAGCAATCATTTGGTTTACCAAAATGTGTAAAAAATTATTAAAAATGTATGTTATGTATTACAGCTATTGTAAGCTATGCCAGCATTATGAGACCTAAAATTGTAATATATCTCTTATGTGAATCAAAAACTCTGTTCAAAAAAAACAATATGTATGTATGTATGTACCTTACCTTTGAAATAAAATAAATTCAAAATAGACTTCTTTATTTTTCCTTTTTACTGTTATGTGGCCCTAATATACAGTATTTGTTTAATTTTATGCTTATGCAACTGAATGGATTAGCATTGTTAAGCATATATCGCGGAATATGGTTAAAAGGAGTATTAGGAATATCCATAGTGCAAAATCACCTCCATCATGAGCATACCCCACATACCCTCTTTTACACCATCACACAACACAGCCAAATTAGTTACCACTTATTTAAATGTCTTGAATAATTTATTTTTGTTTCCTTTTGTAAATTTTTGAACCTTTTTATAGTTAAAGTAGTAGTATTCCATCTCTTGCTATATTTTCAGTGTTTGTAACTGTTTGTTATTGTATATCATTTATGTTAGCTGTAGGATTACAAAATAAATATGGACATATTATATGAAGTTCGTGGTGGACTCGTCATATACGATAGATGCACCAAAATAAAAGTAATTATGGTGGTTATTAATATAAAAATGTATAGTAATATTAGGTCTCATGTTTTTCAGCTAATACCGCTCAATATGCACATTACGTATTCAACACATTGGACCAAGATCGGAGTGGACTGCTCAGTTTTGAGGTAAGGATACCTACTGTACGAGCTAAGGCAATACATTTTGCTCACTCGGGCTTTCTTAGTTTTTAAGCGTGGCGAATTCCTAAATCGTCGAAGTTACCGTAATAATAACCGTACAGATACAAAACTCTGAAACTTGAACCAAAACGTTTTAAGTAGGCTTAATTTATAATTTTATGAATAACAAAGGTACCTCAAGGTGGTTACAGAGTTATGGCTGACCCCAGAATGGTGTAGTGCCTATGCCAGGATGTCGGTCTAATGATTCGAATTTCTAGGTTGAAATTTTAATAGTTATTTATACTCACTCGACTGGCGCAACGACCCAAAGTGATTCTTGGCCTTCAAATAGTGATTTATACAATCTGATTCATGATATCAATAGTGATTTATATAGTATAAGCCTATTTTTTTTTCAAGCTTTATATTATTCTTCAGGAATTTGTTACTGGTTTATCGGTGCTATCGAGAGGAACTATAGAAGAGAAGCTGCAGTGGACATTCTCTCTGTACGATATCAACGGAGATGGGTATATAACGAAGGAAGAAATGACTGAAATAGTAACCGCAATTTATGATCTAATGGGCAAGATCGTGGAACCAATGATAGACGACGATGCCATTCGAGAAAAAGTCGAAAGATTGTTTCAAGTAGGTTTTTTTGTTAGTAACGGCAAAGTGAATGAATATTTATTTCAAAAAGACCAAAATAATTACATACTGTAAACCACCGCGATTCAGTGTTTATATAACTTATAAAGCGCCTGATAGAATTTCATTCAAAAAAATATCTTACTTTCCGTGGTTTTATTTACTGTTAGTTGATAATAACTAATAAGTATATAGTGATCGCGACACGTCGAAAAAACTTTTGGTTAAAGAGTCGCACGCTTATATCCACATTAACAGTTAGCAATCAAATAAGAAAATCTGTTTTCAGAAAATGGACTTAAATCGTGACGGGGTCCTTACACTTGACGAATTCTTGGACTGCTGTTTACGCGACGAAGATATAATTCGCTCAATGGGAGTGTTTGACAGCAACTTCTGACGCCCTGCCTCGAGGCGCCCGAGACGCCGCGCATGCTAAACCATCACATTAATAGGCCCGTTTTTTTGTATAAACCCTAATTGATTACGAGTTCTGTAAAATGTCAGGAAGTCTAACGTGTCGTAGTTAGTACCGAATATAGTGAATTAATGTATTCCCTTAATTTCGATGTCGTAATGAATGTAAGTAGTTTTATGGAAATTATATTGAAAAATATTTTTGTAACAATACAGTAGAATGAATGTCGTGAAATGTTCCAATTTTCCAAATAAATTCTTCTTTCGAACTATTCACTTTTAATGTCTAGGAAAAATTGTCTCTCGTAGTTTATCATCCTATTATAGGCCATCTTTAAGAGAGCTTATCATAAGAATTTCTTCAACTAATCTCTGATATTTAAAGATTTCAAAACGCTTTTGGATTCCTATGTTTTTTTGACCATGTTTTTATTTCGTAAATAGATACTCCTCTCATCGCTGTATCAAGCTTACCTCTTTCCCTCTTTTAAATTATTCCGGCCATTTTTTCGTAGATAATATGAAATGAATTTTTTTCTATATACATATATTATATTGTTATATACCTACGAATTGTCTTGTTTGGAATAAATCGTACATCACCGCCCGTAAAGCAACGTAGCGATACCTACCTCGATGTAATTTTTGATATAGTTCTGTCAATATCCGTAATAGCGCTGAAGTCGTATCCTTTTGATCACGCGAAACTAAATAATTAATGTTAATAATTATTGTGATCGCTATCGGAAGTTACAGAGTAATCGCAAGTCCATGACCTTGTTATGTAAATTTGATTAATAATAAACTCTAGCAGCATTAGTCTTTAATTTAAAACCACAAAAATCTTTTCTGTTATAAATTTCAATTACCTTCCTTAAAGTGTATAATGGAAATGGGTTCATGCCGGATAAGTTATTTTATTGTGAACGCACACAATAATAATATTACGAGAACGGACGTTTATAATTAATTAATGTAATACATAATCAAGGCCACTGCCATTCCTCATATATTGTAATTTGAATTGTACACTTTCAATTAATGTTCTTTATGAACCCAATAAAAAAATCGTTCAACGCTCTCCGGGAGCCTTTTTTTGTCAACATGTATTATTGTAATACAAACCTTTGATTAAATTGTCTGTCGTATCTACTCGTAGGTACCCTAGGTAATAAATGGTGGAATCTGCAATTATTGTAAATACTCGGGTGTAAATATTTGATCTAGACGTAAATGTATATTTTCATAGTGGGTGTTAAGAGGAACCAAATAAATAGAGAAAAATAAACAATGTTATAAAATACTTAAATATAAACATGTAATTTTTATGTAGTTAGGTGTGAGACAAGTAACTGCAACGTTAGAAACTTTTCGACCACCCTTGGCTGATTAGTAATTATATCTTCATTCCTATGTCGCAGTTGGTACCATCCTTCTATTTTATTCAGATTCGTTTGTCACTAAACTTATTCTATAAATAAACCTTCCGATGGTCGAGCTTAAAATATCGTCTTCCCAAAGTAAACTACTTATTTGCAATCAATGAATCTGCAAAGAAAGCCCGTTCCTAGTTGTTTTGTTGCATTATGGTATGAATAAGACTAGAATAAAAACAAGTCTTATGATAAATTAAAAAATAAAGTTGGTCCTAAGAAGTTACGCTATTTAAAATTATAGTCGTCTATAGTTCAAAAGTAATAAATGTAAATAGATTATGTACGTTGTAACTCTATACCTATTATTCGTGCCAAAAAAATCTTTAATTTCTGCGTGAAAATATGATATTGATTAATTTGAAGAGATAGAGTTTAATAGTTGTTCATTCAAAATGGCAGTACATGGCCTATATTGTTCGTTAATGTCCGATTACATTATTTGTGTATTCCTAATAGTTTAGTACTAATCGCTTTAAGTACATTGTCATTGTAATTACTACAAATTTTGTAAAACGGTTTAGAAAAAACATATCACGATTAAACTTGTTCTAAGTTTTACCGAACACCTTATCTACAAGTAGCACGTTGACGGATTTGTAATAACATCTTATTTGTTATAAAAATAGACATTCTTGGGTACCATATTTTGTGATGTTAAGGAATTGGTTTTTCTTTACAAGCGTTACTTCATAATAAATAATTGAAAGGGCCGTTTAAATTAAACAATTTATGGAATACATTTCGCCTAGATAGAACCATCCACTTAAATAATTAGTATACGAAATCCTAAAAGCTGAAGTGTCATTATAACTTATACTATTAATGTCGTTCCGGTAAATTCGCGAAATATCCAATAGTAAAAAGCATGGATATATTTTGAGAAAGCCATCATAATCGTTTGGTAATCAGAGTAGCGTTGCTTTCATTCGTGAGTTAACTTTAAATATTATTGAAGTCTAAGGCAGGGGTCGACCTTAAGTGCGCAAAAATTGTTTTTTTAGTTATGTCGGTAAACCGTAAACAGCAATGCTTTTTACTATTGACAAAAATATAAGATGTAATTCCTAATATATTCCAAAATGTTTGTGTGTACACATGAATGTTGTCTAGGGTTGATCTGCAATTTCGGTATTTGAAAATACTAAATTGTTTATTTACAAATTGTATGTGTATTTTATAGAAAAATAAATAAATCGATGAACTTGTGTTTTTTTGTAAATCCTTAAAAATAAAAGTCATTACGAGCAAATATTTTATTGGAAATAAACACACTATTACATAAACATTACTGAGTTAATATTGTATAAAAACTAATTAGAGTAAACTATAACTGAACTGAATTTCAAACTATGTACGTACTTAGAGTTAATTGTACTCCATTTTCACGTGGACTTTGGTATCTATTTTTGTTTACACATTTCATTAACTACATGAGCATTGTTCACAAATATTACTACCGTTATAAGTACTTATATTATCAGTATATAGTAAATAAATCCCTATAAAAACTTTCTTACCGAAATTAAGATTAATTCGAAATACATGCTTTTGAAGCGCTTACGAGGCACAAATTGTCAATTCTTAGATCATAATACATATAGTATATATAAACTAAATACAACAAGGTATTAGTCGAAATCTGTGAGACACCATTTGAGCAAACCTTAAAACTAATGATTAAGATATCTCATTTCTATAAAAAAAATTCTATAGACAATCGATCCGCAATAATTCCTTACTCGTCGCTACTCAGAGTCATTATATAGTTTGAGAAAACATCGAAACTTAAGGATATTTAGGTGCAATAAACATTTTGTAATAAATAATTAATGGAGCAAATATTGTAGCTGGATTGGGTGGTATTTTGTTCAATCAATATATGTATTATGAATTTTATAATCGGCGACTTTGAGTACCGTAATGCTATGTAATGAATAGACAATAATAAAATAAATTGTTGTTTCTACGTCGTAATTATCATAACTACGCACTAAATCATAAACTAAAATAAACCCAGATCTAAAACCGGTGGTACCAAAATGGCAAAAATAATTCATACCTATATTATTTTTATACGTTATTAAATAAAATCTAAATTTAATAACCTTCAATTTAATGTAAACTAATTATAAATGTATATAATCTGTAAAATATTATTCAATAGTTTATTAAAAATAAAAATTATAGATTGGCATTTTAAGTATATATTCAGTTAGCCTTTCATTTGAGATTTGGCCCCGGATTTATTTAATTCTAAGACATTTGACCTGAAAAATATTCTTTGCAAAGAACAGTATAAGTTCACAAAATAATAATCTTTTTACTATTAGCATATACTAGAGTATTTTAGGCAATAATAGTGAGGGTACTCGTTTGCAATATCTCTGCCAGGCGGCCCCGTAACGCCTCCTACACCTGCAATGGTCCCGCCAAGCTCGATGTATCAAAACGACTATTGGGAGCAAAGCCGGAAGAGCAGCTACGGGGCGAGAAGACAAAATGCCAGGTAAAGCTAAAGCTATATGCATAATAATATCCCCCAAATAATTCGGATGACGCACGAAGCCCCACAAGTTGGAGAGAAGAAGCTTCTTCCCGTGAAACGTTGGCATCGAGTCGAGATCTGAAACGGAATATTTACTTTAATAATCTGTTAAATAAATGCGAAGTTTATTACGACTACTATTGAAAAAAAATTACAACTTTTCCTACACAAAAAACTCAGTCGTCAACTACAGATACCGAACATTTTGAACAAATGTCCTTGCCTGCGCAGAAGCGTTATTTAGGTATAACTGGGAGGAGGGGCGGCGGGAAAGTGACGTTTCGATCGCGTGATTGGTAAATCAGTTGACGTTTGTGTCCCGCGATTGGAAAACTTTCCCCCCTCCTTTGTTTAATTCTCAAGAAGTTTGTCGGTATCTGTTCTAAATATTTATACCAACGCCAATCTTTAAACTTTCTACAATTAATATAGATGCATATAAGGGCGTCATCTTAACTAATTTTTATCTATTACAATAAACCACTGAGTCATTAGAACATTTAAAAGTTATTTAATTTAATAAATCATCTGAACAGGAAAAATGTTACTTACGAACTGTTGTCGGGTCCAGTGGATTTTTCCTGAACCTGTGTTTTATGTTGTTACTCACATACATAAAGACAAATCCAAATAAGAATAATGCACTTGCTGCTATCAAAGTATTTGTACGTAAACTTAATCCAGAGTCTGCGACATATTTTGATATACTTGTAAAATAAAATGGGTATAATGCTGTAGCAGTTAACTGCATATATCCCAGCCCCTCATATTGCCAATAAAATGTAGATATAACCTTGTACTCGCAGATAACAAAGTATAGAGCATATATTATTTGCATCAATGTGAATACGGCAAGTGTTGGCCTGTATTGCACCTTGCTTAGTATCTCTTGATAATTAGTCAAACTTATGTTTTCAAGGTTTTTCCCTTCAACATAAAAACTCTGTTTTAATACAAGAACCAGAAGGATAAGCTGAAACAAATATAAGACATTGTAAAAAATATATGTACTAAAGTAGTCATGTTCACTTTTTTTACAATACTTAGAAAAGTATACTCACAGTGGTAATATTGCACACTCTATAGGTCCATAACTTTATATTAAACTTCTTTATCTGCGGGTAGACTTCTCGACCAATGAAATAATTGTAGACTGCATATTTAGAGTTTCCATAGGGATTCAAATCATTTTCATTCATATTTCTAGCTTTCAAATAAAGAAACACAGACAAAACAACTGATATTAAAAAAGATCCAACTCCCAGCTGTAAGTGAGAGTCCAAGATCAAATTAATATCGAATATGTTATAGAAATTCAGAGAAAACAGTATGGTTAGTGTAACAATACTTGCGAAAAGAGCATTGAAACAAAACTTTTTACCTACACCATCTACTTGCTTGCTCCCCAATACCGGTAACATATGAATTCCAGCTTGTAAAATTTGTTGAACAAGAATAATCTCCAATGACGGTAGAGTAAACCATATTGTATTTTTATACACAGTTAAATCCAAGTGTATATTGTGAGAACACACTTTAGTACATGAAGTTAAAATCCCAAATACAATTAGTGGAATGATAAACATCAAAGCTATAGCACCAAATATCCCACCAAACTCAAATTTGTTATTAACTTGTGCCAATGAAACTGTGCTTGGAACAGGTGTAGATAATTTTCTTACAACAGATGTTGATTTTCCTCGGAATAACAATTCAGATTCATCATCTGAATAAGTATCAATAGTTTTGCTAATTGATTTGCTTAATGAATTGCTTAAGGATTTACTTAAACTCCTTCTTATGTCTGGTACATTTTCCAAGTCTCGTAGCAGACTAGATTGTCTAGGAGCGATATCAATTGAACGGCGGTTTCTCATACTATATTTACTAAATTCTGTGCTATCAACACCATTTAAATCATCTTCAATTGATTTTATTGGTATATCTTTCACAGTATACTCAATACGCTTGGACCGTGTACTACGAAAAACTTCGAGTTTAGCAGAGAAGTCTTCCAACTTGACTTCTGCATTCTGCATCGATGCGCGCTTTGCGGGAGACTTTGAAACAGATTCGTCTTTCTCTTTAACTGTTCTTGAAGGAGACTTACGAGCTGGGTATTTCAAAGTAGGTTTACGGCTGGGAGACTTTCTAGCAGGTGATTGGCGAGTTGTACGCTCTGTAGATTCTTTACGGTTTCTGGCGGGAGAACGCGATGGCGATGCAACTTTTCTTCTGCGAGAAGGGCTTGTATCGGCTATACTAGCCCTCACACGTCCACTTCTTGTAGACATTTTCAATAATTTACAATGATGCACAACTTATTTGTTTAAATGGCTAAAATTATCACGCCACCACACGCAACGAGATCGTTACTTCATTTAGACACATATTCACAAAACCAATGATTATAAAATGAATTTAAATATTGAAACACGCAATCGTTGTGCCTGTAGCACATAGAATTCAATATTAATTACAAAATTTTACAATTCGATAAAATATATTCAAAACAATATCAACAAGCAACGCTACAACATGCGTCAGTACACAACGACGCTTGAATTATTTGAAAAAAGAACTATTCATTCTGATTGGTCTAAAAGACGTTGGGATATTAGGATTCCGGATATGGTAATCGCTATCTCTTTTCAATGTGCAAGTTAGAAAGAGAGCAGTATAAAGCTAGTAATAGAAGCGTCACAACCGGATAGTGGTAAGTAGATAACACGCTACACGTTATTATTTTACCTCTACTAAATCTGTGGTTATTATATTATTTATTATTACGCTGCCCGCGTTAGAGGATAAATAAGGGCCTCATAGCCTAGCGGTCTTATTAAGTGGCAGCTAGGTGAGGGGCACCGGGTTCGAGAGCAGGTTTAATTTAAATTTGTTCTCGGCCTTTGGCGAGGGTTGTGCGGTACCGGGCGAGTGCTTAAACCGTACTGTATAGAGGACAATGTCGAATTTCTAAGGCAAGCACGAATTATAAAAATCTTATACTTGACGCTGGCTAATGCACAAACCGTGCCAGAGCCATAAAGGAAAAAAAAAAAAACGCTTCTCGAATGCCAAATATTTTTATTATCTAAAAATATAAAATTAAATTTGTTGATTTCAATATATTCTATTAAATTTCTTTCTAATAGACTGATAATATAGTATAGAACTCTTTTAAATCTATTGAAGATTGAAGGCCACAGCAAAGTCAGTTCAGGTGTTTTACCAGGTGATCTGAACCAAAATATAGCCAATAGCATTAGTTTGACATTAAAACAACCAATTCCTATATCAACAAACTTAATAAGAAAGTCAAATCATAAGATTTTCTTATCACTAGCTATTTGTTATCTCTATTGTAAACGCCACCTTTTAAAAGGGTTTCATCAAACAGATTATTCATATAAATATATATTTATTATTATTTTATTTTTAACAAACAATATAACTTAAAACAAATGCTTGAAAACATAATTCATAAAAAAATTCAAATGCACAATATTCAAGATATCAAACAATGATCAAATAAATGTTAATTTTTTTGTGTATAATTTACCAATATTTTTCAAGGTGTTGGACCAAGTTTGTAGGATCTACATTTGGTCCATGTCTTTCCACGGGCACTCCATCTTTGTCTATGATGAACTTTGTAAAGTTCCACTTAATGAACGAACCCAGTGTTCCACCTTGCTTATTCTGCAAAAAAAGTGAAATATTTTTAGGAGTAAATTAAAATACAGTTCTATATTCTGTGTCGCATTTAGATGCTTAAACAGTATAATATAATAATAAGCCTCTTATCCTGAACTGTTTCTTTGACTTTTAGTTGACTCTTATCTTTAAGTTATAAAATATCTCTAAGTTCAGTGTGCCTCTTGGCAAAGGCCTCCTCTAACAATTTCCATTGTACGCTGTCTCTTGCAACCCTTCTCTATTTTGAGCCTGCTGTTAATTTTAATTCGTCTTCCCATCTCTTGCTTTGTCTTCCTCTGTTCCTTTTCCCATCTCTAGGGTACCAGTCAGTTATGATGTTGCTCCACTTTTCTTGTTTATCATGTATCATGTGCCCAGTCCATCTCCACTTCAAACTATCTATTCTAGTGAGTGACTTTTGTCTTACTTCTTATGACAGTGTTTCGTATCTTATCTTGTTTCTTAATACCTATCATACTTCGTTCCATAGCTCTAAACAGTATTATCTACTAAATTGAGGCAGATTGCTTATTGTACAGAGTCCAACTTATGCTAATGAATAATTTATACTTTATAAATAAAAAATTCAATGTTATTTTATGCATACAAAAAGTAGATTTTTATAACAAAACATAGACTTTTTAATTCACATATTAATATTTAATCCAAGTTACATTATAGATAAAGTATTAAAAAAAGAACATGCACCTTTAAAAACTTCCACAATGGATGAGCTGAATCACCATTCACATCAATTTTCTCAAATAAGTCAAATTTCACTTTACGCTCCGAAGCAAAACAAACAATGTCTTCTGAATTACCAGGTTCTTGTCCAGCAAACTGATTGCATGGGAATGCTAAAATCCTTAAACCTGAAAAAGAGTCCAATGTTATAAAATAATTAGCTACCTTATTACTGCATTTTTTTTTTTATCCAACTCTGTTTAAGTATTAGCTGTGCATATTAATTTTAATAGATATATTATTTAAAAATGCCGTCTATAATAATAACAATGTAAAAAATCTATAAGTACTTTCATCTAGGAGGTGGGATCACGATTATTTTGCGCGGCAGGTAAAAAAAGCAAAGTAACGTATAATAAACAAGGTATAGATATAATAATTATATAATCAGGTGGTAATTTGACGTACATAATTACAACATACCTCGGCTTTCACCGTAGTGATCGAATAATTCATTGAGTTGTTTGTAATTATTTGCTGTTAAACCACACTGAGATGCAACATTTACAATGATACAAACATGACCTTTGTAGACGTCTAATTTGACATCTTCACCTTTAATGTTTTTTACCGTAAATTCGTGAATGCTTGAAGCACTTTTGTAATCAGGGTTGTTATCTGTCATTTTCCTGAAATATCGCCACAATGGGCAACAATTAATAATGAAAAAACTAAGCTGTCCTGCAATTACATTGTCATTAGGGTAAAGGTTATTAGGAGATTTTTTCTGCATTCGGCCAGTATTGCATAATCATTAGCTCAACCTTAACAGTACATATATGAATATAAGATACTAAATTATATACTCACAAAGTACTTATTTGTAGACGTGAAACACAATATAAATTGGTTACAGCAGGTACAACAAGCTTCGAAAGAGACCTAAATCCGATTGTCATGTTTATTTATTTATCGGCATTTGATAATTCAACTCGTACACAGATGTAAAATACGGTCTCTTAGTTTTTAACCATGAGCTGACTCACGGGTCATGACTCATGACACTTGACAGTACGTTGACAGGACGTTCAGAGCAAAATCTCTATCGAGACTGCTCCTCTCTTTCAACCGTGTCTATCAAGACTTAGGATTTGTCGCCTTTTACAGCCTGGCCACGGGACATTCGCCGATACGAATATTCGCGCGGTGCGAACGGCGAAGCGTCTAGCGACTGAAATAAACTCATAGCAATGTACTAATCAAATCAAGCCACGCGCAACGGCGACCGGCGATGCGACCGGCGAAATGTACCGAGGGAACCGCGCGGCCCGCGGGCGACTGGCGTCGAGGCGGGCGAGGCAAACAACAAACTACAAAGGCATGAATCAGTACGGCGCGAGCCACGGCACGGAGTCGAGCGGCAGTCGCGGCGAATAGAGCAGGGATTAAATAAGTTTAGTCGTTTTCGCGGCGAAAAATGAATACAGAGTTTTTTATTACTAAAATACTGGCTAGACCAGCTATTTGGAAGTCTGGCCATCCACAGCATTAATTTAAGCATGTTGAAGAGATGAAGAGATTGTGGCAAGAAATAAAATTTCCAGATTCTCATAATTTTTCAGCGGCACTTAAAATTATATTTGCATTAACATTTTTCTCCAATTCTGGTTGAATATTCATAAGAATATAATCGAAGGTTTCAATACTCATTCTGGTATAAAAAAAAAAATTCTGTATATATTCTGTATTTCTCGTACTTTTTGTGGAATTCTCCATCTATACCTCGATTCTTATTTAAATCATTTATTCCTCAATCTCTTCCAAATGTTAGGTCTTGAACCAAAAATCTATTACTTTCCAAGCAATATCGAGATAATTTCGATAAAGACATTTCGCTGTCGAACTTCCTTACTGGTCGCTGCGGCGAACGTGACTGGTGCGTGGCCTACAAACGACGCAGCGTGAATGGTCGCCTGACGCCTCGCCTCCCGCTTCGCCATTCGCACCGCCGATCCCCGACCCCGGTGGCCAGGCCGTAACATAAGTATCATACAGAGGGTTCAAAATTACATCTTGAAACAAATATCCATTTGGTTTGCGCTTAATAGTAACTAAAATATATTATATATGTAACTTAACTAATGTTAGGTTACGTAACTAGCGGTTATAATATTTTTTAAAACAAAAAATAATTATCACATTTATGTTTAATGTATTCAAAATATGTTATAATGCAGTTGTATTAAACATTAGGGTGTTGAATCATAGATGTAGCAAAAACATTATAATTTTATTTTATTTAATATGCTCGCAGTCACAGACTAAATAGGAATGTTGTTTTTGGCAAATCAGCGATCGCGCCGACGAAGTTAAGGGCTTATTACACTACGCGGTATTCAGACAGTCTTACTAAGATTTAGCATAATGTAATAAGAGTTAGCAAGTTAGCCTGTCTAATTAGACTGACCGAATGGGTTCGGCGGTGCTTACTTGCTTACTTGCTGAATACCGCGTAGTGTAATAAGACTTAAGGCCGGGTTATACTACAGCCACGCCGCGTGTCGCAACGCGTGGGATTGCGATCGGTTACAAACATTTAGTATGAACGTGGTTACATTAACCCAGCCCCGCGTGTCGCCGAGTGAGCTGACGCCACGCAGATCGCTCGATTTCGATCGGCGTGGGCTCGGTAGTGGGGGAAGTGTCCCGTTGGCTCGCTCTGCGCTAGTATAATAGCCACGTGGCTACGCGCATTTGCGCATTCCGGTGTGTTGACGAGCAAGCAAGCAGACATCTACCACATTTTAGAGCGCGCGCAAGATGTCCGCTGACGAACTTATTGAGCTAGTGAGAGAGTATAAATTTGTATATGATCCTAAAAATAAAGATTATAAAGACCATTTGATAAGAACAGCAGCGTGGGAAGAAATAGGCCAACAATTTTTTTTCTTCTTGAGTTGGCTTAACATAAATAGGCAGGCAATATCTTCTTCAAGATCCGTATCTGAGTCGGAAGAGAACATTGTAAATAGATGCGGATGTTTACGCGGTCACCACTGAACTGACACAAAAATGAAACAGCACGCGTGGCGACACGACACTGTAGTATAATCACCAGCCCGTGCGTCAGGCAGCGTTGCGACACGCGGCGTGGCTGTAGTATAACGCGGCCTTTAGCACGCTTAACCGTTCAGACAGCGCGTGGCAGCCGCAGAGCAACGACGTTCGTACATGTTTGTTTGCTGTGGCCGCGTGCACCATGGCGTGTTCGCAAGAAAAAAAAGTACTTTTCAATATTGTCGATTTGTACCGAGACATGCCATATTTATGGCTGAAAAGCCATAAAGATTATTCGAATCAACCACTTCGTACCTACTGAAGGATACCGGGTGTTGTTGGAATTCTATAAAACCTTTGATAACATGGCTACAGTCCAAACAATAAAAAAGAAGTTGATGAACATGCGCTCCAATTACAATAAAGAATTGGCTAAGGTATGTACCTACTTAATTCCTTTGTTATGTGTTTTATTCGTCCCAATAAAAACAGGTACCTACCTACACATACGATAAAACGCACCTGTATAACGAACGCTAGGGAACCTTAGTTTAGCTATAAATCGGGCATTTTGAATTGATCGTTTCAAGCTTCAAAATGCATAATTGTGTTTTCATACAGGTAAATGCTTCCAAACAAACTGGCGCAGGGACAGATAAAATGTATGTACCAACTTTATGGTATTACGACGCGTTAAACTTTCTTGGGTCAAGGAGTGAACCATGTCGCATAACACCAGAGACCATCGAAGATGAGGAAAATTGTATTCAATTCTTTATACCAACTTCGAAAACGCGAATAAAAACAGCTGTTTCCTAGAAATATTCAAAATTCAAGACCAATATCCCGATATGTATGGAAGAGATGTATTTTTTTCGCGTATTTCGAAGTTGGATAGTTAAAGTTGTTAGTAGGTGCAGTACATTGACCCTTTTAAATTTTTAGGGTATTATGAAACAGCCTGTATTTTATTTTTATACTATAGACGTGTAAGCGAAGCCATGGGCAGAAGTCCACGGCTTCGCCCACCTATAGACTTTATAGACAGCTGCGCCTAATGGGTTCGAGGGACAGTACAATGTCTGTCGGGTCCATTAGTAAAAAGTATAATATTTCTTTTATTAAGCATTATTTAATCAGGTAAAATGGTAGATATAACAAATATTATGGTGGTACAACATCAATCATTCGGTCTTGGAAACTAACATGTCCAACAGAATTGAAATAGTCCATGAATTTATTGCGAACAATATTGCCATCTTCATTACGCTACCTATTTGAAGAACGCTGTAATGAAACTAAGGGTGCAGAGGTTTGTCTCCAATCTCCTTCGCGAAACGTACCCTGTCCTATATTTTCTGAATTAATATTAGAATGACATATGTAAGTTGGTACTCGTTTCCTCAGAAAGTTGTGCAGAGCGCAACATGCCAACACCACAGCATCCACATTCTCCAGATCTAGATCAAGTGGTCTACGCAGTACTCTAAAACGGGAACTCAGTATGCCAAAGGCATTTTCAACCACTCTCCTGGCTCGCGATAATCGATACTTAAAAATCCTTTGCATCCGATTAATATTTTTAAAAGGAAATGGTTTCATAAATTTTTTGTTCAATGCGAATGCACTATCCCCCAGAAACACGTATGGTACAATTTCGTCTGTGCCTGGCAGTGGAGATGGAGATGGCAAATTTAAAGAATTATTAATCATTTTCTTATGAAATTTTTTACATTTTAAAATTGCTCCATCTGCAATGGATCCATTGGTGCCTGTGTGTACATACATAAATTCGTAGTTAGCATTTACAACAGCAAACAGTACAATACTGAAGAATCCCTTATAATTGTAAAACAAAGAGCCACTTTCGTGGGGTTTTTCTATAGCGATATGCTTCCCATCACATGATCCAACACAGTGACTGAAATTCCATTTTGTTTCGAATTCCTCAGCAATTTCTTTCCACTCTGTTTCATTTCCAGGTATCTGGAACAAAAAAAAAATTATTTAACTGTATTTTTAGGGCTCCAATTAATCTGACGAAGACATTCCAAGCCAGCAAATCGGATCGATTGCTTCAACTTCTAGAGGACATAGCGTAAAGAAAAAAAAAGAAACACTTCTACAAAAACAAGAAAAAAATATGAAATCTGCTGAAGCAATGTTATCAAATAAAGAAGAAGAACACTGGGAAATATTTGGAGAGTCTGTAGGCTTGCAATTAAAGGATATTAGTGGAACACAACTGATATTTACTCAAAAAATTATATCCGATGTAATTTATAATGCTAAACTTGAACGACTCTCTGAAGATTCTTGTCTACTCGTCACACCATCGGAAATAAGACATACATTGAACAGATACAACTATCAGATACCCTTCATCCAATCACAAGTATCAAGTTATTCTTCCCCGTCCCCATACAACCGACAATCTCCTAACTTGCCACACAAACGTCCATCATCTCGCAATTATCCATCACCCTCACCGAGTCCTTCATCATCATCTACAACACAGTACCTATCATCCATCGCCTCACTATTCACAATCACCTCGTTACCAAAGCCAACTAGGCCAATCGCCACAACACATAATTGAATCACCACAACAAGAAGTTCAGTCGCCACAACAGACAATCCAATCTCCACAACACACAATTCAGTTTCCACAACAATCATTCCAGTTGCAACAACAGTCAATCCAATCGCCACAACACATAATTCAATCACCACAACAAGAAGTTCAGTCGCCACAACAGACAATCCAATCGCCACAACACACAATTCAGTTTTTACAACAAGGATTCCAGTCGTCACAACAAGCAATCCAGTCAGCACAACATTCATTTCACCACAACCCTGAAGATTTTCTAGAATACATTCAAAATGATTCAGGGTCTATTATTTCCCCATCTATAGTAGAAGGGAGTGCTAATTTAATGAAAGATTTTTTGATATTCAAGCCGACCAAAAAATAATTTTCTATTTAATTTACTCATTGCTTTTATATTAATGTCCTTGATTTGAAAAATAAATGTTAAATTGAAAAATAATATAAGTACTGTGTTTTTACTCCCCTTGATCAAATGTTTTAAGTATTTGTAGATAGCTCGGCACGTTTCTGGTATTATTGACGATAAAAGACTTTGAGATATCAAAGAGCTAAACCTTAGGTCTTGATAGGAGTTGCCCGTTGCCAGGAATCTTAAGGTAACTACCAATCTATGTAAAGCACTGACACTTTGTCTAAGATCCGTATCTTCTTTTTGAATGTATGGAGTAACTAATTTCAATAGACATTCAAACTCGGCAACTCCTACTCTAAGGTAGTTTCTTAAGTCACATGGTTCCAAAACACTCAGTATTTGCATATTTGATAATTTTTCTCGCAAAAGTAAATACTCTTTCACCCATATTTTTCTTTTTTGTATTTAAATTAATAGACGCGGCAAGAGCTATGGCGATTTTCTGGTGCTTTGAAAGTTTTCCCATCGCGAGACAACCGTCACCGACTACGTACGCTTTGCAAATGAGTAAAATGAGTTAGCTTGCGGTATTCAGTCCAGTGTAATAGCGAGCTTGCCTAGTTAGATTTTAAGACAGTCTTAAGGCGGAAACACACTTACGTGTCGTGGCGTGTCGTGACGCGCCAGAAGCATATTGGTTTCATACATTTAATATGATTAGAAACATATTTGCATGTCGTGTCGTGTCGCAACACGTTCTGTCGTGGCGCCGACTGCTCGCCACCGATTGCGCCAGAGCGGTGGTGGGGGTTATGACGCGACACGACACAACAGGCAAATGTGTTTCTATACCAGCGCGTGGCTCATGGCGCGAACATCTAGCAGATATGAAATTAAATGATGAAATTTCTCTTCGTCACTCTCTAATTTTTTAACAAGACGATGAAATTCACCTTTGTCTTGTCTCCCTCTGTTTATAGGGTGAACCCAGTATCTTTTCTTTTTTTTGCTCTTAAGAAGTTTCATTGCTAAGAGAAATTGAAGGTCTTATTCAAAATCACTATCCGAATCAGACGAAAACATTATGTATGTTTGAACGCTGCAAGGGTTCGTTAAGTACTGTCCAGAAATAACGCCAGAATACGCCACGACACGACACGTAAGTGTGCACACTCACCGTCACGACAGTAAGCATCACGACACGCCACGACACGTAAGTGTATTTCCGCCTTTACTAAGACTGCTGAATACCGCGAAGTGTAATAAGCCCTTTACAAATTACAAAATACCAGTGATACAATAATAAGCCATAAACTCATAACTCATTATCAAATTAAAGGCGGACAATATTAAGCAGAATAAAAAAGTCAGCTCTCGACAAATATATTAACTACTTTATGTCCAATACAAAAGTATTTTTAATTATAAACATTAATTAATACAAATTCGCAAGAATGGAAGACGATGTGACGATTTTTGGCGATATTATTGATAAACTTTTCAATACTTTTAGTGGCGTTGTTGAAAGAGATGTAATTGAAGCTGTTGTTATTAGCTATAATGGTGATCGTAAGTTAATATTTATTTATTTCGTTTTAAAATTTGATGGATATCGGAAGGCGGATATTATGTTTATTTATTTATTTTAACCTTCATATATTTCATTATTATTCTGATCTATTGTATAGTAATGTATTACTTATATGAGTTTGGAGTATATAGTATAAATAAAGTTCATTCCGTAGTTCTTATATCATGTTTATATAGTTTCATGTTATATTTACATCAACAGTTGGTGGAATACCAACATAACATGATCACAAGTTATTGATTTCTTTGTTTACACTGTTTATGTGACTTGTACTGAAGTGCACTTGAGTTAAATGTACTCTTTTATAACTGTAAGTTTCTTATGGAATATCCATTTTTCTATTTCTATTTGTTTATTTTCATCTTCTACAATGTGTATAAATATAGGGGTTTGTTAATTTTAAAGACTGAGTTTACTATGAAACCTCAATTTTTTGAACTAAGAATGAAAACTTTAAAAAGAGACTTATGATAGTAAATTGATGATTCAAGATCAGATTAGAAGTATGTATGTTGGTTGTTAAATTTGCCACACAAAAACTGGAAACAATTAATATCAATTGTATTAATTATAATTAATATTTATTATTATTTTATTAAATCTATTAAATATTTAAGCACATAGTATACTATATTAGTTAGTTACATTACATACTTATAAGAATGTACTAGTGTGTGACAATTGTTCACTAAAATCTTGCATTCTGTTAGCCATTCCTAATTTTTTAAACAAAGTTTTTTTTAAAATATTAGCCAGTTTTATGCTGTATGATTCAAGCATTATTTAACATAACCTAACCTTGAACCTATTATTGTAATAAATATTCTATGATGTCTTTAGTTTTTATATTAAATGACCTAAGTTTCACATGGTTGTGTTTTGCCAGACCCAATACTTTTTTATCCTCACAAATGATATCATCCCATTGCTTTCCCATTTTTAAGACTTCATAATCTTGAAAATATATTCAACAACATACATATAATTAAATAATTACTATTGTTTGTTTTAGTTAAGCAATCAGCCAATGCAATTATGAGTTTCATAGGTGACAATACTGAAGCATCGGGGTCACAACAGACATCACAATTTCATGATGAATATACTTCTACTCGTGTTCCTGAGACTTCTAATAATATGAATACTACGGAACCAAAGATGTCTTACTCTAGTATATCTCATAATGTGCAACCCCATACACAAAATATAAAGAAAATTACACAAATTGGAATAAACATGCAAGATGTGAGCAAACTAGTGACCCAATGTAATAATGGTTGGAGGGTCTTAGTTTTATTAAGAGGTCCACCTGGCTGTGGTAAGACGCACCTAGCTCGGGAAATACTGAATATGACTGTTGGTGATACACACATAAAAGAGAAACACCTCCTGAGTACTGATGAATATTACATGTTACGAGGAGTGTATCGCTTCGACAAGTATAAGCTACAAGATGCCCATTTGTGGAATCAATGTAGAGCATTTAGAGCAATGACAAGTGGCGTAAGTCCTGTCATAATTGACAACACAAACATTGAGCCGTGGGAAATGGAGCCCTATGTAAGGGCTGGAGTTTGCAATGGTTATTTTATACATGTCATTTATCCCAAAACTCATTGGGCGAGAAATGCATATCAACTCTTTAAAAGAAATTCTCATAATGTACCAATTCATACAATAAAACGAATGGTGGATAATATGCGGGAAGGTATAACTGGTGAGGAAATGATGAAAGGCTTAGGAATACAATATTCGGCAGATATGACGCCGCCAGTTTTTAGGTTATATCCGGAGTTGCTACCACCCACAGTAGCATCTCTTCAAAGAAGTGAAAGTGAATCTAATAATGGCAACCAACAAAACCAAACCCTAAGAAATGAGGGTTCAAATATTACAACCCCAGACCCTGATTCTCATTCAATTGAAAACCGTGTATTGGAATCAGAAGAAAAGCTTTCAGATCCTTTAGATATCAACTGTCACATTGAAGAGACATCAGATAACAACAGCTCCAATCTTAAAACAGAAGCTGCATCTTCTGATGTCCTCTCTACAGACTGTGTTGATATTGAAAAACGTATAGAAGAGATTGAAAAATTAGAGCAAGAATGGGATAATGGAGAAAACTGGGATGAAACTAAGAAACTTGCAGTATTAAATTCCGAAAAAGCAACAACATCAAGTCCTGGAATGGCTGAATCTTCAACATCTAAACCTCAGAGAAAAAGGCAAATAGAGAAATCACCGAAAGTTGTCTCTGACCAACTTGTAATCCCTGCAGTACATTCAAATGATTGGAGCAGGTTCCTAACGGTGGACACTGAAACCCCCCCTGAGATTCTTACAGAGGATACATTAGCTCCAGAAAAAACATCTAGGAGTACGTGTATCGAAGCCGGGGATATGGATTTCTCTCAAATTAAAGACCAATACAAAGTTATTTTCGGTAAACCGTGGGACATAAATGTATTTACTATTGAGAAAAAAGAAAAAATACCTATAAAACGAATGCTCGATAAAGGGACTACCACGAGTAATGAAATAATTTCTATGGAGCCCTTTAGATGTCAAAACGCGGAACAGCATTTCAAAGCTTTCAGAAAGATGTTTACCAATATTCCTTCTACAGAACTAAGGGATATTTTTGAAAACTGTTGTGGCGATGTTAACTGGGCTGTCGAAATCGTAATAGATGGCATGACCAACAATCAATTTTGTTCAATTCAAGAAGAGGCCTCATCGGACGATGAGGAGGATGCAGAAAACGTCGAGCAGTGCGGGTGCCTCGCCGCATATAACATCATACCTGATCATCGTCCAGTCATTCAGGAAAACAACCCCATAGTAACAAAAGTCAGCGCGGAAAGTACGCCAAAAGCGACACCTAAAAGAACACGCAGAGATGCAGCCGTCTCTGACGCTTCATTACAATTGAAGCGTCAAATTGAAGAAAATATAGTAATTTCTGAAAATCATTATTCCGAGCATCATTTAAAGATGAAGAACGCACGTAATGGCGAACCATGCACGAGCTCAACTGCTGATGGCACTCAAGAGAATCAACAGATCCACTCGACTGCCAATTTGCCGACCACTTCTGGCTTGTCAAATAATGCAAGAGACGAGATATTGCATTCGGACACATCGGACGACGACGACACCGGCTCTTCCACATCACCGTGTGATGTCGTGAAATCTATTACCATTAATGTTGGAATGGATTTTATAAAGCAGTTGGACGGGATTTTCGGTCGAGAAGGAATGAAGTACCCTGAAAATATTGAGCCAAAATTAGAGGTGCCAGTGACCATTTTGAACGAAATCAATGCCTTGTGGATGGAGTCGATGATGCATCAGGTCGAGAAAGATTCGAAACAAAGCCAAGAAATGATCGAGCAGGATGCAGATTTCGCCAGGTTTGTGGTCCTCACAAATGTTTCAGCCTTTTTAGTAAAGTTCCGTTTCACTGATATTTCTTCTAAGAGGCAATCAGTATGGGTAATTGCATTTTATTTATTTTAGTGTCTAGTGGACCCGACAGACGTTGTCCTGTCTTAACTATGAATTCAAGGAAATTAATATACTTCCCTTTTCCTCGCAATATATTTATGAAAATATTATGTGTGTATATAAAAATAGTGATAAGTTTACTAGAATAGAACGCACAATGTTAAAACTCGGAACAAACGCAGGCTGCAATTTCCCCGTACTAGACTATCTAAAGTTAGTAATTCTTTTTTAGGAAAAGGGATACTCTTTAATAAAATCCAGAGGCTCTTTTATCTCTGCCTTTTCTGCTTTTTCCTGGCGCGTATATAAATAGTGTTGTTGGTATTTCGACACGGGAATAGATGTATTGTAACTTTTTGCACTGAAAAAAATTATTGCTTACATAATAAAAGTCAGGATTACTTACTATGGTGGTTAAGTATTCTTAAATCTTCCAATTTTCCGCGCAATTTTTTCTTTCATAAGAACCTTCTCCATCACGCGTGAACGGTGCGAAATCGGTCCTAGCACCGTTCACGCGTGATGCCGTGACCAAGGGAAATAGCGATTCATTTTATATATTTTATATATATATATATTATTTTTTATTTTATATATTTATATATATATATATATATATATATATATATATATATGTATAGATAGATAAATATTCACCACATCATATATAATGTTTATCTACAGTATATGTTATAAGCTATCTATTCTAAAATACATGACAATTGTCATTTATGGTGAATGAACATAAATGTAAAAAAAATATATTAATCCAATTTTAGATTTTGCTAGTAATTTATTGCTTATAATGCTTTTATTTAAATTGATCAGCTCACTACCGAATAAATGCGAGGTAATATCTTCAATTTCTCTTTAATGGGTTCATTCATTTCATCAACAGGTTACTAGTTGCGAAAGAAGAGGAAATGCTCCTGAACGGCAAGGAGCCGGAAGTCCCGGATTTCAAAGAAATCATGGACTTGGATTTCGCTCTTTCGTTGTACCAAAAGGACATTGCCGAATGGCGCAACAGAGAGCCACCGGATTTGGCGGCAAAGATGACGAGGGAGAAACTATACAACCTGTTCCCGGACGTGGCTCCCGATATTTTGTCGGAGCTCTTGATGGCGCACGACAACAATTTTCGAAATACTGTAGAGGTATGTTTTATTATAATCGGAGGAACGTATTCGACAACAAACCAGGTGGTGATGGAGACTTTGACGCTGAAGTAAAAACATAATTAATAATTTATTTGCAAGAACATAGTACAAAAATATAATGGTGGTATAATCTAAACTTCGCATATTCCGCCACACATAATGGCGTGCAAGTCTGTTTAACATAATTAAAAGGTAGAATTTTACATATTACATTACATTATCAATCATATCATCTTTGTCCATTCTTATGTTGTTTTATCATCACATTATCACATTTCTAAAATATATTTTTACATTATCAAATTAATATTCATTATAATGTTACACTAAAATAATCATTAATAGAATAATACATTTTTCCGAAAGTCATATTAGGTCGATATTAAAAAAAACTCTAGTAGTATCTTTGTATGTTTTTGGTAAAATAGTATAAACTTTGATTGCCATAAAAAAGGCGTTTTTCCTGTACAATTCCAGATTAATTTTTGGCACAGCCATTTTCTCCCCATGTCTACTTCGACAGTAGTCCATTCCCGTTGACTACTAAACATAAAAAACAATATGTAATTATGTTTTTGTCAATGAATAAGGACATTCCAAGAATATTCATACAGGGAAGAGATCAAATTTTGAGCTTCTTAAACAAAGGTACACGACTATTAAGATAGTTTGCTCCACAAATTTTGAGTGAATAGATGCGAATCATGTCTGTTTAGTTAGTCTGTGGTTTGTCCTCAGGCCCTCTTAATGTCGACGGGGAGGTCCAACATTCTAGAAATGAAGAATGGTGTCAATAAGTTCGTAATGGAAAAAGAGATGGACAGGAAGAAGCGTTTGGTTGAAGAACAGCGTAAGGTAATCCAGTAAATAAAATCATTATTATAAAATATATGTATATAAACTCTTTTGCCAAAAAAATCCGGCATCTAAAGGCCGGCAACGTACTCGCGAGCGCTTGGCATTGAGTGTCCATGGGCGGCGGTATCACTTAACATCGGGTGAGCCTCCTGCCCGTTTCGTTTGCCCCTTGTTATATAATTAAAAAAAACTGAGAAAACTTAGGTTCTAAGGTCGATTTCACTTAATTAAATGAAAATTTATTGTCTGAAATAGTCCGTATACTTACAATCGTGTAAATAAAAACGCGTGAAGTGAATTCTGGCAGTTTTTTTTATAAATTTTTGATGAATTCTTTAAAACCGCTGTAGACGGCTAGGTAGACGTAGAAGTGATCGGAAATAAGGACAAGATTTTTTTCTTTACTTTTTTAAAATAAATACAGTTTATAATGTAAAACCCAAATAACGAGGGTGACCTCTGGCCAAAATCACAGCTCCCACTCTTCTGCAATTAGTCTTTTTAGTTCTCTGATGTTTTGTGGAGCAGATTGCACTGAGAGATATCCTAGACATGCATGAAAAAAAAAGTGTGTTACTAAGTTATTATGGCGTAGTATTTTTTGAAGTTATACTTCTTTAGGCGCGTTATAAAAAATTGATGAGAGTGAAATTTTACGATGCGCACGCACCGTGACACAAAATTATCAGTATGAAGTTGCCCACGGAAGTTGCTACGGCATTGGACATAATTTAAAAACAACATTCGAATAATAGAATTTATGTTACACTTAATGTAAGATAATATTAATAAATATTTATTTATTTAATTTTTCAAATGTAAACTGAACTTTATTGACTATAATGACTCCTTTTTCAGTCTTTGATTATTTAATTGTAATTAATTATTTGCATGCAATCAAAAACTATTTTTAATAATGCCAAAGAAGTATAAATTCTTACGCGCGTATATAAGTACACGCACCCTTTTTTTAAGAGTAGCTATATTTTTGTATTTCTAATGTCATAAACGAACAGCTCGAATTATAATTTTACTTGGTTTTAATTGAAATTATCGTGCATTCCAGGCTCTGTCCGAAGTGGAATGGCCGTTACTTCCGATGCAACCGAACCTTACGATGGCAGACGTGGAACGATTTAGGGAAGAGGCGAATGGACATCTGGCAGTAAGAGAAAAGTAAGTGGCCTATAAACAATTCAGAGCGATTCAAACGAGTCGTTTTTGGGTATTTTAAAAGTATGTGCGAACTTTTAGAGATGTTCACGTGTGAAGTACACGTATACGTACACGTACGTCGTCTAGTCCGAATATTAAAACTTGATGAACTGGACTGTTCGGTTCCAGGAACTACCGCAAGGCGCAGGAGTACATCCAGCGCGGGATGCTGCCCGTGGCCTCTTACTACTCGGAGCTGGGAGCCATGCACACGGCGCTCCACGAGCAGGCTAACAGCAAGGCCGCCAACTCACTGGTTTACGTGAGTGTTTTTGGCTTTACTTACGGTTACCATGGTAACAACTTCTATACGAAAATCCACCTACATATAGGTCGGTTATCGAAAGCTGGCACGGCCACAGTACTCACACTAATGCAATTTCACTATACAGTATGTTTAAAAATATGACTTTTTGCCAAGCTATATATTTAGTCTAGTCTGGTTTTAGTAAGTTGTGGATTGTAGTGGGTGGATTGGGTTTTGTGTTTTTTTTTTCTGGATATGATATAATATACGATAATATAATATTATTAGCGGACTAACGCCATCTTGTAGCATAAAACCTATATAAAGCGTGGCAACACCGGCGTTGACTCACTTTTATTTCAAGACTTCGTGCGGAACGGACTTGTTACTAACCTAACCTCAGTAAATTTTAAAAGTCTAAAGTACCTACACGTTCTAATCTTTTGTGTTTACTAATAATATATTATATTATTTTGATTGCGTACTTCACTAACAATTCTTTCATTAAACTGTTTTTATTAAGGTGCTTAAAATAATTAAAAACATTGTACACTAATTCACGAGATTGTCCTGTTAATGTTCTGCCCGAAACAATTATTTATAAAACATTTTTTTCTAAGTATTCTAACCTCCAACCAAATAAGTAAACAATCACAGACAAAATAATAATGAGAAAAAAGGTCAACAGCAGCAAAAGCAAAACAATAACTATCTCTTTTATACTCATAAGCTTGACCGAGCGCGAGAGAGACGGACAGTCTTTTCATGATGCATATTCAGTGTGACGTCACGCCTTGCGCTTATTCACAGACACTACACACGCACAAAGTGTAAATGTGTTGAAGCCGCCAGCTTTAGATAACAGACCAATACCGCTTCATATGCGCTTCTTATGCTAGAAATTGTATAGAGTCGGGCGTTTTTCACTGCCTTCATTATAATGAATAGTCAAAATTTCCATAAAAGCTACAACATATAAACATCAAATCTTACACACGATAGTTATACCAACGTAGTATCGAGTTTATAAGTAAGAAAGAAAGCATAACTATTCCTTGTATAAGGTTCGAATAAGTAAGTTTTTATTTGTACCACTGTATATATTTTGATATCGCGATTTACACTTGCACAACGCCATCTGTCGATTGATAAATAAACTAAATGATGATTTTTGAATTCTATAATACAAAGTTAGGGTAAGCGACATTAAGTACTCACATATAAATTTGTTCAGGGCCGGATTTAGAGTTCTGGAGGCCTCGAGGAAATAAAGAAGTGGAGGCCCCGTGGCCCTAAATTATTTTTCGAATAAATTGATCAATTTGTTTTATAATAAAACAATTTTTTACCGGATTGATGCTATGTATTTACAATTATTTTTCATAATTTTAAATTTAACCGACGTTTCGCGTGCTTTACAGCGTGCGTGGTTACGGTGACTATGAAAAATAATTGTAAATACATAACTTCAATCCGGTAAAAAATTGTTTTATCATTAAATGTGTGAAAGTTATGTCAATAAAACACAATACAATTTGTTTTAGTTGAGTTTTTCAATTTATAATTTATTGTCAAACCAAGTTGATTCTTTTAGTATTTAACAAACATAAATATAAATACAGATCAATGATTTCTGTTAATATTTAACTCAATAGCCAAAAATTTATTCATATAGGTAACACAATGTACACTTATGAACGTCAAAAAAGAAATATACATTAAATGCTTTTAATTTTACATTTACTGCAAGTTCTCAAATCAAGGGCGTAGAACGGAAGAGAAGAACTGGCAATAAACTCTCCGCCACTCTTTTTAATCGCCAAGTTTTTTGTTTTACACAACGTTTGTACACTATGTTCCACATGACATCTTAATTAATTAATAATAATAACATAAATTAAAAACAAAGACTTGTCCTCTATCAGCAGGAGGCATGGTGAAATAGGAGCACGCACTTATATTCTCGTGGGAACAACACGCAAACACTTAGTCGAAATAACTAACATCGAAATAACGACCAGTCACCACAAGTAGCACCCGTTCACGAGTATGACGCATGGCCAGCCATCGGCCCCCTCGCCATATTTTAGAGAGAGAGACAACCCGATTGCATGGACGCCGCCACAAGCAATGACATTTAAGCGAGCATGACGATCCTTGAAATGTGGACTTGACTACATAAGAACAAGGGCTGTTCGGGATTTGTTGTGTTTCTCCGATTTGTTGTGTTTCTCCGGGGGAGAGTCGGTACGGAATAAGTTTAAGGAATTAAATATTATGACACTATCTGGTCAATATATTCTTGAAGCCTTGTTGTATGTCCAAAAAAATATAAACGATTTTAAAACAAATGGTGACTTTCACCAGTATAATACGCGCAAATAGAACTAATTTGAGTACGACCAACCAGGGACGACCAACCAGGCCTACGACCAAAAGATAAACCACTCCTTATATGGAAATTGTATTCCGCTTCTTACAACAAGCTCCCAAGCGAAATTAGAGAAATTATCACTAAATAAATTCAAAGCCCTCTTAAACGAAAATTAATCAACAAAGCTTTTTATAAATTTGAGGACTACTTAAATGATCCTAATCCTTGGGATTGAATTGCTCCAGTTCAAACAATTTGTATGACAATACTTGGCGATTAAAAAGAGTGGCGGAAAGTTTCTTGCCAGTTCTTCTTACCCGCTCTACGCCCTTGACTTGCGAACTGGTAGTAAATGTTGAAATTTACGATTAATTTAACTTGACGATTCAAAAGTGTACTTGGTTACCTACTTGAATAAAGATATTTTGAGTTTGAGTTTGAGTTTGAATACAATCATGTTTGTACAAAAAAATATCAAAAGAAAAGTTGTTTTACCAGTGTTTACTAGTTGGAATTTAAATCATTTTTTGAAGTGAAAACTTCTTTAGAGGCGTTGTACACTTTTTTGGAATGGATAAAAAAATGTTAAACTCGCGTCAGGACAAATTCGTAAGACGGATGTTGTTTTAAAGGATTATGAACCTTCGTGCTATATAGTTACGGTTTTAATTCATTTGCCTCTTTCCTCAGATACATTGATGCATTTCGAATTGGACCTTAAGTCAATATATCAAGGTTTAATTTTGCGAAACGTCTAAAGCTTTATTATTAACGATTTGGTCAGACTGACGCGAATAAAAAATGGCAACTTAAAAAATAGTGAATTTTCTTAATTGAATTATTTAATACTAATTTTAATTATTTTGTGTAGGTTTCGTAAGACGGATGGAGAGTAGACAGCTGGCGCGGCGTATTTAATGTAATATAAATTGTCATGTTTGTGTACGAAAGCGCAATAAATAAATATTGTATTCTACCACAAAAATGATAGTACTTTTATACTGATAATTAAAGCAATTCGTGCAAAATTATTCCCTAACCATTCCAAAATATCAAAAATGCACAACGAAGATTCAAGTTTTCACTTCTGCCGGCACTCCCGTTCAACCCGTCGTTTTTTTTCTCCCGAAGTGTCTGGTGGAAGCTTCGAGATTATAGCCCCGGTCTCCCTTTCCTAAATCGGGCCCTGTATTTGTCTATGGTTATGTATATGGAGATTGAGCTTACAGAATATATTTTCTATATTCTTTTTTCTTCGGAATAAACAATTGACGATCCCGCAGGTGAACGCCCAGCGCTGCAAGAATAACGCGACCATCGACCTGCACCACTGCCGCGTCGGCGAGGCCCGTCAGTCCCTGGACCTGTTCTTAGACGTTCATATCAGAAAGCTCAAGGAGATCAACGGCCGCAACGGGGTCACCGCCCACACGCTCTTCTTCCTCACGGGAAGAGGCAAGCACAGCCCCGCGGGGCCCAAGGTCAAGCCGGCCGTCATGCAGCGCCTCAAGCAGAGGGGCCTCGCGTGAGTCTCCCCTTTCACTCAGACTCAGTGGCGCATAATGCCGAATTATGCTGAAATGCATCAGCAGAGTGCGCTAAGTTCAGTGTTGAAAAAAAATATTCATAGAATTAGCAACCTCATTAGTGTATAAATAATGTGGTAAACAATAATAATTGGTTGAAACTATTTACGCTTATTTTAAGTAATTTGGATTTTGATTATTTTATTAACATTTTTTTACGTTTTGAGTAATTTTCTTTATTTTTATTCTCGTAATTATTAAGATTGTGTTCTTCATCTCGATAAATATGTTCTTTGCCACGAAAACATGGATAAGAAACGACGAAACGAAAGCCTTACAAATTTTTCAACAATAAATAATATTATTAACGATAATAAATAAACAGAATTTCGATCCAATGCCAACTTAAAGAAAGACACTAGTCAATTTTCTGTCACTGAGTGAGTATTGATTGCGAGTATCACGATTCACGCGAGGGTATTACTTTTGAGAGTGCTCAATAGGCAATTGTGCGAAGCGTTGCTGGAGTTGGAAAACTACCGATGTTTAGATGTAATCTCTTTTTCAGGTTTTACGAGTTGAACCTAGGTTTGTTGGCCGCCAAAGTCACCGCTAACCACCCTTTGACGGACGAGATCACCTCACGGGCTAAACCAACGGATTGAGCTTAACGGCCCGTTATGAAAGTATTTGACGTGTACACAAAAGCTGGTTAAATTAAAATGCGAATTAATGATATTTCTGACATTATACGTGTGAATCGAGTTCTGACAGGTTTCAGCATTTTAATTAGGAGCAGGTTTGGGTAATTTATATTATATATTTTTTATATCTTTTGTTATATATTATATTATGTACAAATCAAATGAGGCTTCATGTTAGACCGTTTGTTTATGTTGATATTCAGTAAATCGTTTGGATTTTCAGCCCCAAGTTACCGATGTTTTATATGTACTTATGTATAATGTATAATTATATTACACTTTAAATTAGATATATAGGGTTAAATAAGTGTTGTATTAGAAGATTCTAGTTTTAAAATATCTAATATTAAGTATCTAAATCATTTTGATGGCCTAATTAGGTCATCTTCATAATTAATATTTAAAAACAGCTCAATTGTAGCTCAAATTGTGTCCACGTAATTACCGATTAAATTTAACTAGTTAACTAAAATATTAAAATTAATGACGTCACAAAACCCACGGACCACAGTTTATTGTTAAAACGTTGTTTAGTTTAAAAACGTATCCACTTCTTACGCTCTATTGGTGTGTCCCTTTTCATCATATAGTGAATATAATTTGATAGAAAGAGACGGATATACACTATGTATAGGCTGGAATAGCGCACAATGACATAAATTGACAGAATTCAACGGTTATATTATTTTTACGGGTTTTTTCATTAGAGACAAACCTGGGTAAGTGGGAGCTCAAGGGACTGCGATCTTATTTCCTCTCATAGAGCTTTACAACTCTGTTAGCAAATAGACGCACACTTGCTTTGAATTAAATAAGAGTCCACGAAATTTCTACGAAAAATACTTAAATGGCCCCTAAATAGCGAAACTTAAACGCGATTAACTGTCGCTTACAGAGGTTCACTCGTGAAAAATGTCCGTCACTTATACAGGATTCATGTTTTCGCTTACCCAGTTGTCACTTACTCAGGTTTGATAGTTATTTTAATAACATGTTGTTAATAACAAGTTAAGTAACGCAATTTTATCAGTTAATACGTCTGACCATTATTATGGAAGATATAAGTACAATTAACAATCCTGTACAAATTTGTTTGTGGAATTGTCAGTTCCTTGGTTGCTTGGTCTATTTGTTATGTTTTAGGTAAGAAGCGACTTTAGGAATAAACACGGATTCTTTTATTTCTTTTAATATTTCAAATCTTTATTTAAAATGCTAATAATATATCCAATATTTTTTATAACTAACAGTCTACAATATAACTTTATTAATTATACTTTAAACTAATGTTTTATATAGAATTTTGACGACAGTGAATGATTTCGTGTTTTTTATGTTAGAATAAAAATGCCGCATCTATTCAGTTTGAGAACACTAACATTCGACGCATGCGCAATGGCTTAAAAACGTCGCACAGGCGGCATTCGCTATCCTTGTCTGACAAGTGATGTTATGCGTTAACTCTCTTTCACTCTACCTTAAATATTTATCATCTTTAACAGCAGGTAACCCTTATTTCCGGCCAGATTTAATTAGGCACCCATTAACGTTCATTAATAGAAAAAAAAATAGCTTCAATTTGATATATAATTAATAAATGTACGTTATGAACGTATAAATGTATCGAAATCATACCGGTTTACACCTGGCTACGAAGAAGTGCGGCCAGGTGATCAACGGCACCCGTGATTTTTTTAAATCTTTATGTAAATTTCCGTGATGTAAAGATGCAAACTTTGATAGGCAACTTGGTAGATATACATTCTCCTTAATATAAATATAGATAAAAAAATGGTTTTTAGCAAATAACCGATGAGCGCACTGATCCTGCAGCCGGATCTCGTACTATTTAGCTATGTAGTAGTATAATAATATACAGACTCGCCTGTCTACCAAATGCCGACAGCGAATTATATCGTTTTTTGGCCATTCAAAGTGAAGAGGCGATTAGAACTTGGAGAAACTGATCGTGGTTGGTAACACAGAAGGCAAAAGATCAGAGCAGATGGACCGATCAAGTGAAAGACTCATCGTCCTCAAAACTATACACTTAAAAGAGTGGCGCTGGATAGAAATTGGTGGAAGCAGATTGTCCGCTCCAGATGTTTCCTTGCTAACCGTGACGCTCAGACATGCGCTACCGACAGAAGAAAGAGGGAGAGGTATAATTTGTATGTAGAAGATAGAGAAGCAACGCCAAACTGCCCCCGATTTTGTTATCATTCGGTCTTTGATTACCCCGTAAGGTTGGTTACATCAAAAGTTAAAACTTCGTCTATGGACGCGTTTGTTGCTTATTCTAATGTCGCTTAATACCTTTTTACTGTTGTATTATGTAAGAATTTTATGTTATTTGGGTGGTATTGAAGTTAAATCATTGTTGTAGTTATAAAATCCTAAACGTATACCAATGCGTTGGTTTTATCTGTTAAGTGTCAAAAACGAAGTAGGGAACGTTCAAGTATTACGTCACGCAATTTTTGGAGATTAATGACACCCCCCCATGTAACGCGCCGTAACGTTTTTCTGTACCCCAGTATAGTAAAACGTTTCGTGACCACTTAGTGACTCTTTATACCTAAAAGTTACCATTATGTGGTGTAAAGTACTGGAAAGTCGAAAATAATAACAATAACGGCTTATTTCAATCCCCGCCCCGCATCGTAACGATTTACACAACGACCCCCCCCCCCAAAATTCGTTACGTAATACTTGAACGCTCCCTTAGAAAAATTGCTCAAAACTGCAAACACTTTCCATCTTAAAAGTTAATAAAACTTTTATAAATTGGTCAAATAATGTCCTACAACAAAATTTTGGTAGACAGTAGTTTTGTGGGTAGGCAGTAATTTCTACTATTACGGGTGAGTATGAATGAAAGAATGCAGGGTTACATGAAAGGGCTTTAAATATAGCTGAGGGCATAACGATAGTTATGGTTATGAGTGGTACTTTTACGGTGCCGTATTTACCTTTTCTTTGTAACTTAAATTTAATATGCTGGGTACGCACTATGGCATTTACTTCTCACTTAAGGAATCAAAAGATACGGGTTTTATTTTAACGCATGTTTAAAATTGTCAATATCTTTGAAACGTTCTAAGTTAATTGTTTTATATTTGTTTTTTGGATATTCATTGCGGGAGTTGCAGGGCCGCAAGGTGCCTCACATATCATTTATGTTACCTGATTTGATACTTATGCAAAGAAGTGTCAATAAATACATATTTCTTATGTATAGCGTCGTAATAGTGAGTATCCAGTTTGGTCCAAATTGTTCGGTATATTTCTATTTAATATATGATTTCATCAGATACGATATATAAAAGGCTGATGAGATAATTTGAATAATAACGTTGCCTTAATTTACTTTAATTCAGAAATTATATTTATTAAACTAGAAAAAATTTATTTCCAAAATTTTCTCACATAGAATTAATAATAATTATTATTTCGACTTGTCTTATTAATCAAGTGTCGCTACAACTCTATATGGGTCTTGGACCTCAGATTGCTTCCGTTTCCTGAATCATGTCGTCGATTGATCTTATTCGGTTTTACCCACGACGTTTGCCTTTTCTTCGAAAAGGTTCGAACAGTGTTAATTACGCGCAATGTAAGAAATTGTACACTGCCGGGAGTTGAGAGTCGATCAAGTCTATGTAATGAGATTTGGTGTAAATATTAAAATTTAAATGTTAATCAACCACAATTATCCTACAGAAATTTCATTTCGTACGTAACGATTCAATATTGTAATGGAGACTAAAGTATAGACTCTGGAAGATTTCCAAGATCTGCAAATGTTCTATGAAATTGGCTTCTTAAATGTATAATAATGGCTCTGGTTGGCTTCCGTAGTAAATAGACAAGAATTGAAGAAAATAATAACAAAGGCAAGAAAACTACAGTGTTTAGTCCACCTTATCTCATAAGCCTTGTATCACGAAATCTGTTTTTATATAAATATAATTTTAAGAGTAGTTTTAAAATTACAGGGATTAATTTTAATTAACGAGTACTCTTGACAATCATATTTTCGTAACACTTTCTTAAAATATACAAAGGAAAGATTGTATCAAGGTCCTCTGGTTTTAAAGATTAAATCTTTATTAGGCTTTACGGAAATACGGACCTAGTTGATTCCGCCTTAATTTAACTCTCTAAGTACAAGAACACTTGCCACTAGTTTTCTCAATATTGGTATCGGCATGTAAGTTCGCAAGATATAGGCGTGGTCGCATTTAACCCTCTAGTGGATTTACGTGCCGAAATTATACGAAATTGATTAATTAGTTTATAGAAACACAAACGGAGTTTTTACTATTATAGTTATAATCTTTCTACTGTATCAACTATTTTTGTATGAACAAAAAATGACCTTGTCTGACTTTAAGACGAAATCGAGTGGAAGTAAGGACCACCTTTGAATTTTTTCAAGGCTCTTCGATACGGGATATTCGTTTATATATTTCTACACCGGAAATCGTTCTAATTTTTATAGTTAATTAAAAACCGACAGTGTTTCGTTATACCATTTACCTCATTTAAGGAGTATTATTTGGAAAGTGTAACTTGTTCCTATGCAATGTTTCTCGTACGGCATTTGACAGATTGTCAGCTGCCTTTATGGAATGTCACATGAGTAGAAATGCAGTTGCGAATGCATATGTGTCTTGATGTTAAATGTATTGTATTATCTATTGATATTTCTATAAATTAGAAAATCGACATTAAAATGTTGGCCCTTATGGCAGGTAAGAACCTTTGTTATAAACAAAACGTCAGGTCGCGTCGCTTGAATTTGATTGGTCAACAGTGATCAACCAATCATGCTTAAGCGGTACACAGCGTCTTTTTTTCAAAAACGCCATATAATCTGCGAAAGATAAGCGCGGCCATTTTAAATCCGTTTTTTTATGATAAACGAATAAGTGGAATTAAATATGTTGCAATTGTGGCAATGCCATTGTAGAGCTTTGTCAAAGACTTCGTAATGTTAAGACGAGCTACGTATGTATCTCGTTAATACGTCCTTTTACCTAGACTAGACTTAAGTTTACAAAATGTTTTATAACTTTTATTGTATGTTTTTATTCTTAAGTATGTCATATGGAAGACATATCCTGATTCTCTTAGTATTGCTTGACAGCTTGCTATTGACAGTTGGCAGGTGGATTTGACCTACTACCCAATCATAGACTTACTACACTTTTGGGGCTTATCGTTACATAATAATTGAGAAACATTGTATGGCGTTTCAGCCAACGTTCTTTCATATGACAGTCTCAAGACATTTATTTTCCCGTTATACTCGTGAGCCGGTGCCGCTCTAGAAGAATATGTATATATGTGTGTATAGATTATTTCACTCGACCAGGCCAGTTCGGCTAGATAGTATAAAATTTGAAAAAGCTATTTTGCTAAGGTTTATCTATGTCTAAAAATTAAAAAAAAACGTTTTTAGTTACGCCATTTAATTTACATTACAATTTTAAGTTTGAGACCTCAAGCTCGCGCTTTTCATTTCAAAAAAAGAAATGTATTGAAATAAATTCTTCGAGAATTGAGAAATATAGTAAAATAAAGACTTCAATCTCATAGCATCGTCTCAGAGTCTGTGGTATACTTGTTAGGGGCTCACGAGGAATAAAAAAGGCGAAGCACAACTAGTACCCTTTGTATTAGTACATAAGTTGGTGTTTTTATTAGATAAGTATTTTTATTTGTTACATGTTTTGCTTTTTTATTGTTAACAACACAAATTTGTGTCACGTAGAGTCAATTATATGACAAATAAAGACAATTGATGTGATTTATTTTTTATTTTCGTCGTTGTATGAAACAGATTTAGTTTTTCTTAGCTTTCCTATAGAATTTTCATGAGGTTACCTAAATAAGGTATATAGGTAAACCTTCTGTTAACCGTATTCTTGAGTCAACACACGACCTGCAAGTAAAGCCTAGATAAGTGTCATCGACAAAAAATGTGAATGGTGATATACTATGATCTAGGTCTAATATTGTCTAAGTGTCCAACGCAGTGCATTATGTACACGTCATAGGTCAGTCGTAAGAGTAATTTACATTTATAATTGTTTGTAAAGGTTAGTGACATTCCCATAAAGCGTTTAATAATTGATGTGCACGGAAGTACTTGTGTTGGAGCATATAAATTTCTTCATACTTACGTCACAGTAGGTGTTACGATTACGATTTTTTACTGAATACAATAATTTTACAAGTTCTAAATGGGACTAAAACTCCATTACTTATGTTTTAATGTTATTTGTAATGTCATTATTTATTTATCTGATAATCTAGATATCTTTATCTATCATTAGACATTAAAAATAGCGTGTCGCAATAACTAAGTGCTATGTCTAAGTTTACATTAAAGATTTTTATGACTCATGAACCGACAGACAACTGATATTTTAGCAGAACCGGTCTTCAAACTTCCTGTCTTTAATGTTTATAATGTTCTTATAATTTACTGAATGCTAATGTTTATTCTACATAGTTGCGACTGACTAGTATTACAGTATGTCAAAATTAACTTATTTAGTAAAGTCGTGAGTTGGAATACCGGCATAAATAAATTTATTTATGTGTTTATGAAACCAGCTGCTTCTATTGATCGCGTGTGTCCACAGAAGGATCACCTACCTATTTATCATATAGTGAATATGATAAATATCTGAGATATAGATAAGGGTTTAAGCGCCACTGGTTAGATATTCAGTAGCAATGTAGTATTAACCTAATCTATTTATCTATCATAGGCCCAATAATTGCCTACAGATTATCGCGTGGTAAAAAAACCCTAACATAATCGAACCTTATATTAAGGCTATAGTTTTATAATGACTTTCTTATAGGCATCAAGGTGTTTAATTACGCTCTCATTGCCTGCTTATTCAAATAAATAATGATTATTATATCAAAAGACTGGTTTTTGTCTGTTTCCTAGTACAATAAGATCAGTCAGTACGTACATACATTTGGTCATCGACCCTATATCAACGAGTAAATGTTACGATGCTTTAAACAAGTAGTAACTTACGTAAATGTGGAGCGAGTGATTGTAGTATCAGTTAAAAGTCAACTTGATTTTAGAGGGTTGCTCTCGATATCGTAAATTATTATAACATTAAGTTCATGAAAGCATGTTGCGTAATATTTTATCAATTCTCGAAACAATTTCTTGCTATATTCCTCAATTGAAACATTTTTAATATATAAAAACAGAACAAACTTTGATGCGGTTTTAATCGATACACTGATTAATTAACAATAAAATTAAATAGTAGAGAATAGCCGACATTTGGATCGAATCGAACCGAATCATTAGTTTTAGTCATAAATACTGTCATATTAAATGCGTCGACACACTAAACTAAGCTTTAACTTTAAATAGTTAATTAGTAAACATTAAATTTTTGACAAGAAAAATTAGGCTTCTTTTCCTTCCTTTCGTCCATTTTAAAGTAAGTTGCAAAAACTATTATTGTAATTCTTAAGTCTTTGTTTCTCAAACTCAAATACGACGAAAATTTCAAATTCACCAGCCGTATGAAACGCTGTTTTTACGAATAATCTGTCTTTAATTAGTTTTGTTCTTGTGAATTTTTTTTGTCTATTTCTTGCATGTACCAAAGCAGTTATAGTCTAGTTAATACTGTCTAATTCTTGTAATGTTTAAATCCATTAAATATATAACGCCTCTATTAAAAAAACTAAACACATCAAATCAGTACTTACCTATCTCTGTTTATCACAGCTTAAACACGATTTGACTGAAAGAGATGAGAGAGTAGTTAGAAGTAAATAATTTATAAATATTATTTAGGAATTATCAGAGCATTTTTTACCTTTAGTTATTTCAGTAGCATACTAATTAGTATAATTTACTAAATGTCCTTGATATACTTGACCTATGTTCAAGTGAAATAATATATTAATAAGTATCAAGCAATTAAATGTAAAATGAAAGGCAAAGGTTGTTGAAATTGTTGGATTTAACCAAAATTACTTTCAAAACTGCATACTTGAAAGTAATAAGAAACGAATATGAACCTAGACCTTATTTTTTCAAATTAAGCTTCTTAGGATTTTTTGCAGCCCTGTAATAATCCTTGATATCAAGTAACAATGATATCAGGGATTTAATTCAATATATATTCTTATACCATACACCCGACGAAGCCTTTTGTATATTTTCCTTAGAATAATGATGTATGTTTGATATGTCTGTTAACTAGTCTGATGATGAATGATCTCAGGAATCTTTATTTGGATGTTGTCTGATGCTTCGGAAAAAGTACCGTTATTAAGTAAAAAGTCATTCCTACATTCGTTTAGCTAAACTAAAATATAGGTATGGCAAATTAAAATGCGTCATATCCGGATAACTGTGGCCCATTAAGTTTTAACATAATGTAAATATGTTTATCAATGCCCTATACCATTGAATATAACCTCGATGGGTAACTGCCCCATGCCAAATGCCGGCAGACCAAACAAACGGAACAACATTGAAATTGAAAGTCTATCACTGACTCACTGTTATTGCTTACAACCCACGGAATACTAGTCCACCTTGACAATGAAAGTAGACACATTATGGACGAAGGCTTTGTATAAAAACCAGAGCAATCCTTGCAGAAATTATTCAGTTGCCAACATTAACAACAGAAACATGTACGCCAAGGTGTGTAATACAGTGATACAATTAATTAATTATAAGAATTCCAGCGGTTGCTAACCTTTTATTTCTTACAGTTGATCATCGCTCTTTGCGCCCTAGGCGTCGCCCACGGCAGTGGACTGTTGGCTGCCTCCCCGGTGGCTTACGGGGCCCACGGCAGTGGACTGTTGGCTGGATCCTCGGTGGCTTACGGCGCCCACGGCAGTGGACTGTTAACTTCCGGCCCGGTAGCTTACGGCGCTCACGGCATCTCCGCCTACAGTGGCCACGCTATCGCCGCTCCCGCCGCCGTTGTATCCCGGACGATCACCCCCGCCGTGTCCTCTGTGTCTTCATACTCGACACAGACCGCTCACGCCACACCTGTGGCTTACGCTCCGGCAGTCGCCCGCACTTACGCCGCCCCCGCTATCACCTCCTACGCCGCCGCCCCCGCTGTCGCCACTTACGCCGCCGCCGCCCCAGTTGCCGTAACTAGGACCATCACCCCCGCAGCCACCTCCTACTCTTCTTACTCCACCCAGACCGCTCACGGATCTCCCGTCGCCACCTACGCCGCTGCTGCCCCAGCAGTCACCACCTACGCCGCTGCTGCCCCAGCAGTCACCACCTACGCTGCTGCCGCTCCCGCCGTCGCCGTGAGCCGCACCATCTCCCCTGCCACCACCTCTTACTCCTCTTACTCGAGCCAGACCGCTCACGGTGCTAGGGCCTACGTCGCCGCCGCTCCCGCTCTCGCGTCTTACGCTCGCACCTACGCCGCGCCCGCCGTGTCCACCTACGCCGCACCCGCTTACTCAACGTACGCCGCTGCGTCTCCCGCTTACTCTACCTACGCCGCTGCGGCTCCTGCCTACTCTACTTACGCCGCTGCCTCTCCCGCGTACTCTACCTACGCCGCTGCCTCTCCCGCGTACTCTACCTACGCCGCTGCCTCTCCCGCGTACTCTACCTACGCCGCCGCCTCTCCAGTGTACTCCAGCTACGCTTCGGCCGCCCCCGTGGTCAGATCATCTCTGGCGTACTCCGCTGCTCCCGCCGTCTCTCACATTTCCTACAACGCCCACGGCGCTAACTACGGTTGGTAAACTGAATCAAATTATAGAAGTTGTTGTGTAAATAAAATATGATTTAATAAAATCTTGCCATTGATACTTGTCTATTGATTATATTTTAATAACACTACCTATAACAATCATAATATATCACTCACATGTAATCCATACAAAACTATAATGTCGTTTTCGGTTCATAATCAGAAGCAACGACAAAATATCTGAGATTTCTCAGATCCTACCTTATAATTGTTGTGATTATATCTCGGCAATGTTAAATACATACTTTGAAAAATGTGGAGCATGTGTTTTTTAGTAAAATACCGCAATTTAGAAGCTGAATATTTCATGTTAAATATCTTCTGACAATAATTCATTCTCGAATTTGTTTTTCCAACAAACTCCCAAGCGAAATTAGAGAATTATCACGAAATAAATTCTAAGCTCTCGTTAAACGTAAATTAATCAAGAAAGCTTTTTATAAATTTGACGAATATTTAAATGATCCTAAACCTTGGGATTGATTGGCTCCAGTTCAAACAATTTGTATAACGGAAAACTTAGCGATTAAAATGAGTGGCGGAAAGCTTATTGCCAGTTCTTCTTGCCCGCTCTACGCCCTTGACTTGCGAACTGTTAGTAAATGTAAATAATTCTGACGAACTTTTCTGACGTTCATAAGTGTACTGGTTTACCTATATCAATAAAGTTATTTTGAGTTTAAGTTTAAAAGGATTTCTTTCTCTCGTAAATTGTTGACTAGCTTACATAGAGGTAAACAATATTAAAAATAGATTGCTTGCTCTTATGATATATAAAAATAGAAATAGATCAGAAAGTTGTCTGTTAGACAAGACAAAATATTTGTTAATTAAATTAATAACTAAGAAACTAATTGTATATTTTAAAATATTTTTGTTGGTCGCGCTTTAAATAGCGAAGCCGATGATTTTGCATAAGATATTATTTGCATAGACTTGTCTAGTGTAGACTTTTACGCAGATATCTCAATAAATAGGAGAATAATGAAAACAGATCGCTCGAAGCGATAAGGCCACCATTGGTTTCTTTTTATTTAATTATTTTAATTGTACTGTTTTTCTTGCAATGAAGTGTACATAAATAATGGTATACAGTCCATGAAGGTTTATATAAATAATTTAAAAATCTGTAGGAATTAAACAAAGAAATTTAATGGAGCACTGAATGAGATTGGAATGAGGTAGGCGATTTAAGATGCTACTTGTTATGTTCCTTTGAAATCTTTGCCCAATTTTAATTAGTCCTACACAGATTGGCGTTTCATTGGTTATATTTTTGAAGGCTATCAGGTTTCTACACGAATTATGGTTCAGTCAGGAAAGGGAATCGGAAACTTCCGCTAATACGCGTTGCGTTGAATCAAATGATGTGTCATAATATACTAAGTGTATTCTCAACACCGAGGTCGTGCATTCTAATCATGACTGAGCACCAATGGATTTTTCATTATATATGCACAATAAACACTCGCATGTATGCTAAAAGAAAATATCGAGATAATAACCAGCATAGGTATCTTATATCCAAAAAAAGATTTACGGCAAAAGACCTATTTGTTTGAAAAGAAAAATGAAAAATAAGTTTATTAAAATTTACTGTTTTATGAATTGCCCTTAAAATTATTGTAGCGGCGTTAGTGTATGGTAAAACAAGCCAATGTTCGCAAGGAAAAAATAACAGCTCGATACGTAAAGAGTAATTATGTTTCTTATTTTAAAATCTATCGTCATAATATTTGTAGATACAAGTTACTTTGAAAATGTTTCTAATAAATTGTAATAGTACTTAGTAGTCATAGCAAACGTCATATTTGTTTGATCTTTCACTTTACACTCCTCCGTCCTCACCTTATTTAATTTTTCCTCACAGTGGTTTGGAAAAGATCGGTCGAAAGGGATAAGGCCGCGAGTTGCCCTCTTTTTTATTTAATTAGTATGGGGACTAGAGATATATGAATTTTATCACAACCTTTTTATCATGAATAAAGTTTATTATATTTTATTATGAGTGTAAATAAATAAATAAATTTCCATTTCCAATTTCATCCTTATTTCTTATTCGTTGCCTAAATACAAAGTTTAATGGTTTTATCTTCGAAGTAATGACATTAACGACCTTCCATACAAACTTTAATCCCTTATGTCAAATCCAATCCCTATGCCAAATTTCATTAAAATTGTTCTTCCGAACTGACTCCGACTGACAGATAAGTTTTCGCTTAAAAAAAAAGTAGAGCTATCAAACCCGGGAACGTTCAATTCACAGTCTTTGTCTTAAAAACATGAATAGAAATTGCTTAATTTTGCTCTAGTTAGTCAAACCATATCAAAATCACAAGAAATGAATATGAAGAAATAGGAACCAAAATAGTCCATTACTGTGAGAGCTATAGGAACACTTCTTAATATCGTTTTCATATTTTTATTTACAAGTAGGTTGTCAACTATACCTTCTTGATTAAAAGATTGTAAATTAATTTAGTTGCTTAGTATCAATCAATCACAAAATGTATTTTATAAGTTTTGGTGGATAAATATAAAACTTAAGAAACTAATGTATAGATAGCTGTTTGCATACGTAGTCTCAGACAGTTGCTAGTATTCTAATAAAAGCTTTAAAATTACCATGATAAACCACTACAATGAATATAAATTAATTTTGGTCCAAATTTTTTTATTTTTATTTGGACCACAAAATTAGGACAAACACATGATATAAATTGACATACATACATACATACAAAACGGTGCCGTCCCTATAATTGGACACGACCAGCGAAATAAGTAGATACAAAAAACAGTGTTAAATACAAACAAGCATAAAAATTCAAATAAAGAATTAAACATTGAACAAGAAATAAATTATTCTGCACCATTTCCAGCCTCGCTGAATGGGTTAAATACATTGGAGACCAGACACAAGTATTGAAAGGGAATCATAGGAAGGGTGTAGTTTTATTTTATAAATTGTAGTATGTTGCCTCTATTATGCGGTTTTCAAAACGAAAATCAAATGAAAATAAAATTCTCACATTACATGCTGAAAACAGGTCATATATTTGTAATTCAATTGCAACTTTCATAGTCAACGTTTATAAACGCTATTTCTATTAAATAGAATCTAGTACACATATTAATGGGAGATTGGGTGTAGCTTCGCCCTGACATTGTTACACTTTATACGGACAGGATCTAGGCAAAGAATTGTAAATACTAACCGAGCAAACTAACCCTTATTGCCAGATCTGAGCAATTATTTTTCGATAACATTCGTTGCCCCACATGTTGCACAAAACTTAACTCAGGATTGGATACCAGTTTGTACAGATTGGTATAAAAGTGAATGCGTGTGCTTTTGGAGTCACAAAGTAAACCTAACTCAACCCTATCATGTATTCCAAGGTATTACATGAAGCTTTGACTAGCCTTTTGGGTGAAGTTTTGGTATTATTTTTTCTTAATTTTTTTCTTATTTCAGGTTTTGATCTTCCTGTGCGCCGCGGGCATTGCTTCCGCTGGTAACTTATATGCCGGAGCTCCAGCTGTGGCCTACAGCTCCCCGGCTACTTCGGTATCCTACAGCACACACACCACCACATCTCACGGTGGTCCAGTGGCTGGATACGCAGCGGCCCCAGTGGCCACCTACGCCGCAGCTCCTGTGGCTTCTTACGCTGCACCTGTGGCCACATATGCGAGATCCTACGCTGCCCCAGCTGTAGCCGCCTACTCCGCGCCCGCAGCCAGTGTTTCATACCAGTCAGTGCAGTCTCACGTAGCGCCTGTCTCTTATGCCGCAGCCGCTCCTGTGGTAGCCAGAACATACGCAGCTCCAATTGCCAGGACTTATGCCGCTACCCCAGTTTACGCGCGGACCTATGCCGCTGCTGCTCCTTTAGTAACGAGGACTTACGCTGCTCCTGCTCTTGCGTCGTATGCTGCACCAGTGGCCCGCATCGCTGCTCCTTCAGTGTCATATTCTTCTGTGGCAACCCAATCGTCTCCCATCGCTACTTACGCTGCTGCCCCAGCTTACACCTCCTACGCTGCTGCCCCAGCTTACTCTTCCTACGCTGCTGCCCCATCTTACACCACCTACGCTGCCGCCCCATCTTACTCCACCTATGCTGCCGCCCCAGCTTACTCCACCTATGCTTCCGCTCCAGCTTACTCCACGTACGCCGCAGCGCCAGCAGTAGCCTACGGAGGCTACGGAGGCCTGGGAGCCCACGGGTGGTAAACTACCAAAGCATTTTATTATGTACATAAATTATCTAATCACTAGAGCGTAATATAAACCATTGACTGTATATTATATGAGAAAATTGTGTTAAATAAATGAAACATGAAATTATATCTTTTAACGTTTTATTTATAATTCCAATGAATCTACTTGAGAAAAATATGAGGTGCTGATGTAATCGATCAAAATCATTTCGATATCTCAGCGTTTCCCAAATAAATAACTAAACAATTGGTGTCATCATAAGAAATCTTTTACTTGTTCGAGGATAACAATTGCAACTCTTTTCTTTTGAAAAAGAAAGTGTAATAAAGCACAATTGCAAAGAATAAAACTTTAGGCGCCAACAAATTCTGGCTTAACAAAAGACTACAAATGACGAGGAAACCATTGTTGTTTTAAGTTTTGCCCGCGTGTAGGTACTCTTAGCATCGTGTGAGTAAAACTGGAAGATAGTTCCAAAGTTCTTTGTGTAATGTTGCCTATTTTTGAAACTAAATTAAAAGTTATTGTTAAATGTTAACACGCCCTCATTTTTAGTTTATTACTTCTTTTAATGTTAATTATGAAACATTGTCTCAATCTATTTTTAATGTAAAGTTTTTAACTATGGCTTGGTAGTTAAAATTAACGATTATTTATTTAGATTTTTTTATTTCTTGCCTTTTCTCTTGAGATTTCTTTGCTCACAAGTCATTATCATTATCAATTACAAATATGACAAATTTCATTTTCTGTTTTCCCTCCTTGTAAACTCCATCCAAATAAAGATGGATAGAAGAAATAGAAGCGTTAGCACTTAGCAGGTTAGCGAATGGACCAAGATAGCTATGTATGTACATATTTATTTGGAAAAAGCTGGAGAAGCCTGACGGTGCTGAAGGAAGCTAAGATATTAAGGTAACAAGAAAAAAATGTATATAACAAATATAAGCTGTGTGTATATTCTACTTTTGTAATGATTGGAAATGAAACGGGCTTTTATTATTATTATTAAACTCCATTCTTATCTTTAGTCATCCAGCTTTTCTTTTCTCTACCAAGTTTGCATTTGAAATCTCTCTATTAAGAGAAATTATTTTTGGACAAGGAAGCAGTAACTATTTAATATCAAAAGGTTCTTGATTCATCACGAAGGTGAATCAATAACCTTATTTTATATTAAATGTCATACAATGTCTAAACCTTTATTCTTTTACAAATCGTTTTGTTATATTTTTTAATTTTCATGTGAATAGCATTTAACTGACTTACCTAACTTATTCAGTTTATTAATAATTAAGTTGGCAGTTAGTTTAAAGTGAATTATTAAGCCAGCACAATGGAAAACCAATAGGGTTACCTGAACCCCTTTCAAAGGAAATCTCGAGACCGGATGCAAGCGATTATATTATGTATAGCTGTATTGTCAAGGTTGGCAAAGGTTTTGGATTTTTTTTTGTTTAATTTATTGGGTTAGGAATAATAAGGATTTTGACCAGGACGTAGTATACTACGACTACGAGTCCGCTGGACTCAATGACGTATTTGATGCTTATGTGGATGCTAGGGATCAACTTGATTTACTTTAACTGGACGTAAAAAAAGCTTTAACACTAGAACTATTTACGGGTATCATAAGTGACAGAAAGAAAACAGTATGTAGATTACAAAAACCATGAGTCTGCGCCGTATTGTCCTCGATCTGGAGTAATTCAAGGTACGAATCTCGGTCTATTCGAATATATGCTTATGGTTAACGACTTGCTCGTTTTTCTGCGTTCTAGCAGATGCCTTCGTATATTGTATGTAGATGAACTAAAGATGTTTAAAAAATAGAAAATATGTCTGATTGCGAGCATTTTCAAAGCGATCTTTCATCTTTCACGCTTTTGAATGTTATACGTGGGTCTAGTTCTGTATAAAAATTTATTAGGTTAATCAACGAATTGCATACGTAAACGGACCTTTTTTTACTGTCCAAAGTTTTTCTATTTGTTAGTGAAAATAATAATTAGTCTTTTATTTTGTAAATATTCTTTGGCTTGTTTTTCCTAATAAACATCTTATATTTTTTTATTTCGTGTTTAATTTTTTTATTAAATTTGTTTGTTGATTAAGTTATAAATTTTTTATAAGATAATAATTTAAATATAAACTATTAATTCTAAAGTCTCCACGTAATTCTTTCAATTTGAAATGAATTTTTTAAAGGTTTTTTTAGCAAAATCCTTAAAAATCTTGGATTTTATAGAATGTTAATTTACGAGTATAGGTTAAAAATTATAAAAGACAAATACATATATTCTCATACTTTTAATATATTCTACTTTGTACAATTTAAATATTTTACAACAAACACGTAACAACACTGCTTGACAAATGATTTCTACCAGCCATAGTGTGCTCCTAAACCAGCATATGAGACGTGGGACACAGCTGGGGCAGCTGAGTATGTGATGGCTGATTTGACAATGGGAGTAGCATGGTAGGCAACGGGAGTGGCGATTGTCTTGGTCACCACGGGGGCAGCGTGGTAAGTAGCTACGGCTGGAGACGCGTAGAGTGCTGGGGCGGCGGCAGCGTAAGTTGCTACAGCAGGAGCAGATACAGATGAATACGACACAGCTGGGGACAAGGTCTTCGTTACGGTTGCTACGGGCGCAGCGTGGTAGGTAGAGTATGCAGGAGCAGCGGCGTAAACGGCAGGAGCGGCAGCGGCATAGGTTGCGACTGCTGGGGTAGACACAGTTTTAGAGTGTGACACAGATGAGTATGACACGGCTGGTGACAGAGTCTTAGCAACAGTTGCTACGGGAGCGGCGTGGTAGGTAGAGTATGCAGGAGCAGCGGCGTAAACGGCAGGAGCGGCTGCGGCGTAGGTTGCGACTGCTGGGGTAGACACAGTCTTAGAGTGTGACACGGATGAGTATGACACGGCTGGAGACAGAGTCTTAGCAACAGTTGCTACGGGAGCAGCGTGGTAGGTAGAGTAGGCAGGAGCGGCGGCGTAAATGGCAGGAGCGGCAGCGGCGTAGGTTGACACAGATGGAGCGTATTGAGATACAGAAGAGTAGGACACAGCCGGGGAGAGAACCTTGGCAACGGGAGCCGCATGGTAGGTTGAGTAGGCTGGGGCAGCGCTGTAGGTGGCGTATGCAGGTGCTTGGTAGGTAGTGTAGGTAGGTGCATTGTATGTCTTAGCGAGAACTGGGCTAGAATAGCTTAATGCTGGCGCACCATGGGATGTTGTCTGGGAAGAGTAGGATACAGAAGAGACTGGAGCGGTGTAAGCGAGAGGGGCATGGAGCAAGTTGCCAGCGGTCGCAATGCCCGCAGCGCATAGGAAGACTATCACCTATAACGAAAAAAAAATTGAGTTATTAATTAAGCCTTACTGGAAACACGTCGGTAATTTACCTTACATTAGCGTTTCCACTTATGATCAATAGAAATCAATCAGTGACAAATTTTCAGGAAAACAGACGCAGAAATGTCTAGCCATTAGTTAAGGTATAGAATTCTTTCTTTCGGTAATCTTATGTTAAAAGTTTAAAAAAACTTGTGTTCTTGAAATATTTAAATTTCAACTTTCTTTTTTCACTGAATCCATCACAAAAAACTGTACACACCTTGGAGTACATGTTTCTCAGATCCGTTGATGTCGAAGGAATAATTTTAGAATCAAATGTATGTGCTTATATACTCATATTAAACTCACGCCCATCGCCTACGGGCTTTCCTCTCAATGTCAAGGTGGATCACCACCTAAAAGTCAAGCTACCGGTCCTAGTCGTAACGAGATTTGCTCTTATTGCACGCTGTTCATTTGTTATTTATGTTTAAGCCTTGATTGGCATATCATTAGAATATTATAGAGACGCTAAAATGTGTTACACAATTGATTATATTATCTAAATATCGTTGCCCAATTGTACAAGAGCTATTGATAGAAGAATATCATAAAATTGCCACTATTATGATGTATATACATAAATGGAAAAGACTAAGGGAAGAAGGAGAAGAGGGCACCCTAAATAAAGCGTAGAGAAGATATAGAAGCGAATGGAGAAAGAATGCCATGGATATTTGGAAAAGGCTGGAGGAGGCCTTTACCCGTGAAGGGGTTCCGGATTGGAATATCGAGTAGCATTTGTATAGGGTGTAAATAAACGGGCTTTATTATTATTATAATCCATAAATGGTTGGGTGTATAATAAAACGTTGCGTTTTGTTTCAGTGAATTTTTATGCCGGGAAATAATAAAACAATTGCTTCAAGTAATTATTTGATGATTAATAGTTTAGGTGGTTCGCCTCGTTCGTCGTCCTCGACTAATCGTTAATGGTTCAAGAATGACAACAAATTGTAAACACTGGACTGTAAGTCCAAATTGTTTTGATACACCAGAAATATGTGAGCCATATGAATCTTCTTTGTATCAGACGATGACGATGGCGTGTTTTTTTAAGAATAACTAAAGGATCATTTTTTGTAGTTGCATTTTAATATTTATCAAATTTAATACATTAAGCGTTCGTAGCAGTTCCGAAAATACCTAAGGACCCGCCACACACACACACGGAGAGTTAAAAAAAACCCCTTGATCATAGCTGTGGCTCGAATCCACAATCTCAGGGTTGAGAGGAGCGCCTGCTCACTAAGCTAACTCTCCTGTGCTCTATTTTTCATATTTTTAACTGCTTAATATATGCCGCAACATAACTGTGATTTAATTCATTTTATTTTTATTTTTCTGTTAGCTAGGTGGAATAAATAATGATACCGTTGTTACACTATGTCATATTCATGAATTTGCACAATTTTTCTATATAAATTGATCCATCTAGTAGAGTATGTTAGTGATAATAAGTCGTTCATTTGCAAAGAAAGTGGTACATTCAAATTGATTAATTAAAATAATTGATTGGATAAAAAACCGCACAATGCGCCATATAAAAATAGATATACAAATGTATAATATAATGAAATAAGAACAGTTAAGTTACGTATAATTGTTGGTATAATAAAGGCACCTTTGCCTTTAAAAATTTAATCACTTTCCCCTTGAAAGCATTACACGGCAATGATCTATAACTTCTGCGAAGGTGAATAAATAGTTTGATAGCCATAGCGTAACATTTTTTTAAATATATCGTGGTGCAACATGCAGGCACCCACAGCCGTGTTGAATCCCTCGGTAGATATAGCCAAGTTTCTTCAAATGTTATGAATAATTTCGTATATTTTTTACGGTCGCAACTTCTTCTAGGATATATACATATATAACTTGGTACTGTCAAAAAAGAGTGTTTATAAAAAAGGGGGCGTTTTCCTAAAGGGCCCCCCCCCCCCCCCCCCCCCCCTTTATATAAGTGTGGTACAAGATATCTAGCAAAAGAAACGAGATCAGACCTTAAATAAATTAAGCAAAAATAAACTTTTTCAAAATAAAAGTAGTAAACTAAAACCGACTTTTAGTTCCTATAAGTTTTTTTAACTGGGCACCAATATTATATATTAATACAAAAGATTTTTTCCTTCTATTTAAATAAAATTAGATTTAAATTAATTAGTATTTTTATTGTAATTTTTAATTATAAATTAATTTAAAAATTCAATTTTATTTTTATTAAAAAAATTAAAAAGTATTAAAAAAACTAATTATTGATAAAAAGGTCATAAAAAATATTCATTGTTAATATTGTTAGTGACTTCAGTAACGTGTTGGTCCAAGCTAATAGAAAACGGATTTCGTATGATCTCAATATTTCTTGTAATTCCTCCCTTTTCAATAATTAGTATGCTGCTTTGATAATCAGCTTCATGTGTCAATATTAGGAAATGATCTGGAGTAGTTCTTTATCTAAGACTTTGGAAGGATATGAGAGAGAATATCACAAGGTGGTCAAGTGTAAGAGAAAAACTACAGTTTGCAAGATCTAATCAATTCTTACTAACGACCACAATAAAGATCTAAAAATACACTAAGACGTATGGTTAAAATTTCCGACCAGACGTAAGAAATAGGTTGTTGGAAGAATTTGAGATAGAAGTTCGGTGTGGTTAAAATTCAATAGAAAGCTCGCCGAAGTTGGCAAAATACGCTAATTGGCAACTTCGTATTGGAGGCCAGTCTTTTACTACGAATCACTATTCGTCTAACAGTTGCATGGTCTCTCCTGTTTACAACGCCCAGGAGATACATAGCAGCAGTCAGGAATATGACAAATTTGGATGTGGCTCTGTGATGGTTTGGGGCGGAGTTAGTTTGGACGAGCGCACAATTCGTCTTGTTCCCGGCGATTGTGTGCTCAAACTTACATTGAAAATGTGCTCAAGATCATGTTTGGCCCCAGATATGGTATGGGCCCAGATTTTCTTTTAATGCAAGATAATGCCAGGTGCATATGCAGCCATCAGTCAGATTACTTAGACAGAGAAATGTGTAATGGAGTGGTTCCATGAGCCTGACTAAATAATTAAACATTTGGGACTTGCTTGACAGGCGCATCCAAGTCATTGCACCTCAAACACTGAGAGTCACTGAAGGTTCCAAGAAGAATTCACAAGAAGATATTCGGAGGATCATACGAAGCATGCCGCGTCGTTGTCAACGTGATTAGGGCTCATGGAGCACACACGTACTGAAAGTACTAAAGACGAATATTCAAACGATATAAGAATATTTCTTTGATGGACCTTTTTTATCACCAATTAGTTTTTCGTCTACAATGCACATTTTAATTTTTTTTAATAAAAAAATACAAATTGAATTTTTTATTAATTGTAGTAATTAAATTAAAAGGTAAAAAATAGCGTACAAGTTAATTTAAATCTAATTTTAGTTTAAGCAATAGAAAGGAGAAAAATCTTGTTCCGCTAATTGTTTTGAGCAGTATATATCCAGGAATGTGTGCAAATCCCATACCTAAATAATTTTGAGGTATGGGTATCCACTGAGCCCATTTTGATTAAACTTGGTCTAAGTAATGTAGGTAGTTTCCGATAAAATTGTAGACAAAAAAAATACATATTATATGATTTAACGAACCTCTAACTCTAATGTCATATTTACAAATATTATAGGGACTTACTACAATTATTTTCAGGAATTACTTTCTGACTAATAATAAAAATTTTGAAATTGGCATTACAAATAAAGTGTATTTGTAATAGTATATGTATTGTAAAAGTTATAAATTAAATTGAGGTTATAAATTAGATAAACTTCACAATTCTTCATGGATTGAATATACAGGTTTATGCAGCAATTGAAAGAAAATAATATTTTATATACAATTTATTAATGATATTGTACATGATAATAAATTAATCAATTTTATAAAGAGTTAACCTTTGGTTGTTCACCAGCCATAAGTGGCTCCCAAACCAGCGTAGGACACGTGAGACACAGCAGGGGCGGCTGAGTAAGTGATGGCTGATTTGACGACTGGAGCAGAGTGGTAGGCCACGGGGGAAGCGTGGTAAGCCACGGGAGTAGCGATAGTCTTAGTTACAACGGGGGTGGCATGGTATGTGGCAACAGCTGGTGAGGCATAGACAGCAGGGGCGGCGGCGGCATAAGCTACAGCTGGGCTGGACACGGTCTTAGAGTGAGATACGGACGAGTAAGAAACAGCTGGAGACAGGGCCTTAGTGTATGTGGCTACAGGGGCAGTATGGTAAGTGGAGTAGGCCGGGGCAGCGGCGTATGTTGAGTACGCGGGTGCACCTTGGTAAGCTGTGTAAGCTGGTGCGGCGTAGGTTGCTACAGCAGGGGTGGCGTATGACTTTGCGACGATTGGGCTTGAGTATACCGCTGGTGCTCCATGGGAAGTCGTTTGTGAAGAGTAAGACACAGATGAAACTGGTGCGGAATAGGCGAGAGGAGAAGCGTGGAGCAGATTGCCAGCGGAAGCGATGCCCGCAGCGCACAGGAAGATTACTACCTGAAATATAAATATTGTTGGAAATATTGGAGAAAATTTAACGACACATATTTAAAAAACTGACATGATAGTTCACTCTCGTTAGAAAGTTATGATGACGGTTGCTTTTGAAGTCACTTAAGAAGTACATCCTGGTGATACTTTCAATTACATAAGTCTACCATCACCAATTCCAGTAATCCCAATTGCCCTAAATAGCTATCACAGTTGTCTGCTGGTATCAGCCTTGGTCTACCCCAATCACCCACGCAGACCATACAGCTAATTTAATATTAAAAATATCTGTACCTTGGAGTACATGTTTGATTGTTCCTTCTCGTTGTTGGAATGTTTTTTTCATCGGCAGTTGATGCTTTTATATGGTCACTGGAAACTGGTATCGGGCTGTGGTGGACTCATCGCCGCGAGCGAACTGCTTCAATGTCAAGGTCGAACCCCGCCCAAATGCGTGAAATTGTTTTTCTTATTCGACATGGAACGATAAGAACTAAGTTGGCAAGCAACCCGTTATTATATTATTAAATTTTTACATTAATTTTACGATTTTATTAAAATGTATATATAATTTACTACATTAGTTTAAGGTCAAGATATCAATTAGTGAGTATTTAATCATAGATTAAATTAATTATAGCTTCTTGTAGCAAAATATTATTATATCATTAAAAACATAATTTTCTTTTTAGTAAAAATATTTTTTTTTTTATTGTGTGTTAATTTTAAATAAAGTGTATCGTTCACATAAAAGTACTTTTGTGTTTTACTGATTATTAAAAAAGAGTTAATAAAAAGTCCTTATTTTATAATAAATGTATTACAAAAATTAATTAGACATTCAACAAGGCTCACTAGTGCGTTGTTGGTCTGTATTTATTTCACTCGTATTAAAGATAATATAATATTCCACTGTCATAGGTCTTAATAACTACGAATAATAATAATAAATGTACTAAAATCTGGCTTACCTGACATATATCAGAATATGCTTTGGTTTTATTACAAGGCTGAAATTAAAAATGATATTTTTTAAAGAAATTCAAGGAAATTAGAGATATTCTAAAGCAAGGTAATTTTTGCATCAGCAATAAGGATTTAAAACAAAACAACACTGCTGTATTAATATTTTTATTCAAACTTTAATTATAAAAATTTTAATGTTCGAAAATGGTTGTTTAAAATTTGTCATTGTGAATTTTCACTTCATATAGTCCATTGAAATGTTACATGGGCTGAACATTTGTTAGAGGACGCAATTTTATTTATGGGACATGTAGGGGGGGTCCCAAGTTTGTGGGGTTGGCGCCCTTGTCCCCATCTTGGAAATAAGGGCGAAAACACGTTTTAGGCCTCTCCTAAACTATCCATCGTACAAATAATTTGTGACGACATATTTTGTAGCAAATCGCTTTGCCTACAATTATGCCTGTGTGACTTTTTATCATAAATCCAAAATTCAAAAAGGTATAAGTAAGAAAGTAAAAAAAAAATTTTTTTGCTTAATAACTTTTTTCTTTAAATCTTATAAAAAAAAATGTCACAACAATCTTGTACAGCATGTCTTTGAAGATTTTTCTCTATATATATTTTTTAATTTCGTTGATTGGAATCGCTGTTACAGCGCTCCAAAGTTGACCGAGTTCGTCAATGCTCATGACTAGCCGGTCAAAACAACATGTTTACTTTACTTTAATGATCTCTCGTTTATTTTAAACAATTTTCGAAAATGTTTGTTCAATTCCAAAAATTTTACTTATTTATTACTGACTCTTTTCCTAGGGGTGCAACGTCTCTCTTCGTGGTCGTGGATTCGCTTGTTTACTCCGGTTTGATATTATATTAATTCGGGTTAAGATAATTCATCGGTTTTAGAGAAAGCACTGTGGGGTACCTTACTCGAACCTAATTTCGCTGTTTTGCCGATGATTTTTCTTTTTTTTCTGCTCTGCCAACAAATTTCTGTAATTTTATTTTATTTTATTGTGTGCTTGTATTATCGTATATGTTTTAATTGTATTTTTTAATTTTTAATTTCTATTTTTTTTTATGAAACTTATGTTTACATTATTTGTCACACATTTTAGATGTAAGATTTTGTAAAATAATTAGTAGATTTAGTGCTGTGTGAGCGTAAGCTTAATAACTAAATAAATAAATTCATAAAAGACTGCCCTACGTATATGGTTAAACACATATAAGAAAGTCCAGTCTTGAATAATATATTTTTTATTTACTTAAATGTTAATTATTTAAATGTGGGCAAAATGCCACGAAATCCATGACAAGTTATGTAAATAAGTACGAATCACAGGATATAATAAATTTCCGGTGATGGCAATGGTATTAATTATGAAGGAGATAATATTATTTATGGCTTAAGTCAAGGACAAACGAGAATTTTATGTAAAGGAAATTTCAAATTATATCTGTATGAAATAATTCAATGAATGAAAATGCAGGCATTGACAAATTCAGTTAGCGTTACTTATTTTCAAATAAAAAGCTTTTTCTTAGTTAACTGTCGATAGAAGAAGATGGGTGGAATTTAATTGTTTATAGATTTATAAACAATTTTACATAGTTCGATTTCATTGGAAAATATTTTATTTCTTTTTTGTAATATGAGTTATCCAGTATATTTCAATAACGTTAAATGTTAGCTTAAATTGTTTTGGTAAATAGTTTTTGGTAAACGAATAGGGACGTATTTTAAATAAAATATTAAATTGATATTAAACTTTATTTTTAAAATGTAAAAAAATAAATATTTAAAATATCACAATTTGCAATCGCTTTTAAATTAATCACCAGCCGTAGTTGTGGGAGAGGTCACTGTATGAGACATGGGAGACAGAGGGTGCCGCGGAGTACTTCAACAATGGGGTGGAGTAAGCGACTGGACCGTGGGCAGCGTAAGCAACGGGGGCGGCATGGGCAGCGTAAGTTGCTACTGGAGCGGCGTGAGCAGCGTAAGTTGCTACTGGAGCGGCGTGAGCAGCGTAGGTGGCTACAGGGGCAGCATGGGCGGCGTAGCTTAAAGGAGCGGAGTAGGCAACTGATGGAGCAGCGTAGCTGGTGTACGCGACTGGAGCGACGGCCTTAGTCAGGAGTGGGGATCCGTGAGAAGTGTGGGAAGAGTACGAAGAGACCGATGACACAGCTGGCGCAACAGTCTTAACAACTGTAGGTGCAGCATATGCGGAGTACGCTGGTGCTGCGTAGGACACAGATGGAGCGTAGCTCTTGTAGACGGGAGCAGCGGCGTAAGCCAGAGGTGATGCAGCGTAAGCAGCCACTGGGGCAGCATATGAGGCACCATACAGGCCACCGGCACGAGCGGTCGCTACCGCGCACAAGAGAACGATGAACTGTAATAAAAATAATTGTTATTCCACTGATGTCTATAAAAACATAATTGTTGTCCTTTTAATAAAGATGTGTTTCATAATCGCAAACGATATTATAATATTTTCCTTAATTATAGCTTTAGTCCACAATAATATTAGAGATCACAAGTTAACACTTTAACTTTATAAGGCATCGTAAAATATCGTACCTTAGCTGCCATTTTGGTTTATTCACAACAGTAAATGATACATTCGAAGTGCGGAGTATCACTTATATACTATTCAAGAGACATCCCCAGCCGTTAGACTGACGTCACGTTAGAACTGCCCTGCCCGAGACCTTCTACATATTCGTATACTTGTGAAAATATCGGCCTTCATTTAATTAAAAAGCGGATGTTCGCGTTTCGATCTAATTCACATTTGATCAATTATAATATTTTTCTTCCTAGATGTATTAAGTTAGCATTGGTACGTAAGACAATTTTCCTTCTCTGTAGAGAAAATACAATAAGCTCATAAGTAGATTTTGAACTAAAAAGTGTTTCTCTTTTTTTAAACGGGCAGGAAGCTCATCTACTGATACTGCCGACCATGGACACAATGCCAAAGGGCTCGCGAGTGCGTTGCCGGACTTTTAAGCGTGTTAATATAATAACCTATACCTTTACTTTATTTTAATTTAGATTTCGTCTACATATCTTTGGCCCCTACCGATATGAAACCTAACTAGTTATTTAAACAGCTCCCAATCGAAGTGTCCTCGATGTGAACAATGTGTAGTTTTTTTTACCGGTATGGGAAAATATTGCGATGAAACTTAAAATACGGAGGCTTTTTAAGTTATGTTAAGCGTTTTCTCTATCACGAATTCTTAAGACCATCAAAGATCTTAAGGCTTAGCAATAAAGGGTTTAGAAGAAAAGATGTAAAGGAATTCTCTTGAAATTTTCTAAACCACTGGACTGAGTAATGATGAATCAGCCTACTTTGATGTTTACTTACAAACTCATATATTTATTAAATATACTCGCGAGTCTGAACGTATAATTGGGATAGTGTGTGTAATTTTACAAGTACATTTTTATGCCGAAGTATCGTTGGTCATGGCCGTATGATTTTTCACTATGAGATTGTTAGTGTGGACGGTGTTATTTGCGTAATTACCACTTGTACGAAGAAGAGAAATATTGCATGGAATTGGCATTTTTATACAAATATCTTACAAATTTTAATAACAAAAAAATATACAAATATAGTATTTTCAGTAATCGTTAAAAGAAAATTCATTTTTAACACAATAAAACCTTAATTTTAGAATTATTTACTGTGGATTACTTGTTTAAACCTGTAAACATCAAGCAAGCATTGGTTTAAAATACAAAAGAAATAATTGTGTCAACTTCACGCTTTTTAATTGAGTATAAGAGTATTTTTTAATTATACCCATAGTATTTTTAGGTGCACTACAACACCTCAGTCAGTCAGTTAAAGGCTTGAAGGAGATTTATAATTCAATTTTATTTATTTTACTTACGGAAGGTATTCTATTACAGTATATCTTTTAATGTCCATTTGGCAATTCGAATACAGTAATAATGCAACACTAACCAAACTAGAGTTCTATACCCGTAACTAAACTATGTCATCATTTACACCTTTGTGCTCATAACTTGTTTGACAATTGAAATTTGCCAAGATGACTTATTTCAAGTTGTAGTTCACACGTTGTGTATTATATAAAAATTAAACGTTTAATTTAGATGTATGTGGAGCTTATTATGCTTATAGGTATGCTTTGAGGACTACTTAAACGATCCTAATCCTTGGGATTGAATTGCTCCAGTTCAAACAATTTGTATGACAATACTTGGCGATTAAAAGAGTGGCGGAAAGTTTCTTGCCAGTTCTTCTTACCCGCTCTAGCCCTTGACTTGCGAACTGGTAGTAAATGTAAATTTACGATTAATTTAACTTGACGATTCAAAAGTGTACTTGGTTACCTACTTGAATAAAGATATTTTGAGTTTGAGTTTGAGTTTGAGTTATAGGTATGTAATAATCATTTAATTTCACCACAGATCTAGTCTAATCACGTCTTAAATTTCATAGATAAGTTCATACTTTGATTAGGTATAATAATTAATTTTTATTCACTTAATGGACAACTCTGAGAACGACTGTTAATACGGTATTTCAGTTTTGAGAAACTTTTATATATATTCTATTTCAAATTAAATTTACTTATAATTTTATACACTTAAAGTAAGTGGGCAATTTAAAATAATTAGCAATTAAATCAAAAATGGAATCTAAAAATAATAAACATAAACCTTATTTCAAAAGCATTTTAATAACATAATGTACTTAGCATAGTTTAAAACATAATTATAAAACATCATTTAAACTTAAGTCAGTCGCGAATTTCATAATTTAATAGGAGGAGGTTGCACAGGCAGAACTTACCAGGCGTAATTAGTACCAAGGCCAGTGAATGTCATATGGGACACTAATGGAGCTTGTGAATAAGTCAAAGCTTTAATAGAATGATCCTGGACTAAGTGAGGGGAGTATGACACTTCCGGACCTTTAGTTAGAACTGGTGTGGAATAGGTCTTAGTCAGAACTGGTACTCCGTGGTGATATATAGGAGCAGTATATGCGTTCACTGGTGAAATTGAATATTGTGGATAAGTATGAATCGGTGTTGAATAGACAGGGTAAGTGTGGGTTATGTAAGCGCCATTGTTTGCAATTTGGGTGTACTTATCGTTGAATAGTGGAGTTCTCGATTTTTCTGCTTGCTCCTCATGAATTGGGGCAGGATTATTAGGAACAAGGTGGTTGATGTTAAGAGATGATTGGTCGATGGACGCACAGTTTGCTACGACCAAGTATGTGGTGATGATGAGAATCTGTAAAAAGTAATATACTTAAAAATAAGGAAAAAAATTTGATTTTGAAAGATTTAAAAACTATTGGTGAACATACAACTATACCTCGAGAGGAAATGTATGAAAATAGCAAATTTATCATTTCTTGATTTTCATGAACAGTAATGAAATTATATAATATTATTAATAAATATTAAAAGAAAAATAGATATAATTATTAAAATAGCATTTTCCTTACCTTACAAATCATTTTGTCTTGTAGTCCCAACATTTCAGTAACCGAATGACAAAAATTATTAATCGCAAGCTTTTTATAAGACAGTGAATTTAATCGATCCTGAGAAAACTATAAGCTTATTTAACAAAGTAATGGGCCATACATCACTTGTAAACGTGTTAACCTTAAAATTAACCTTTGACATATTTTTAAACTTCCAAAAAAGAATAGTAGTTATATGGTGTGAATTCTTCATTCATATCTTGTTTTTATGACCGTGCCTTGACGAATTGCATTTATTGTATTCATATTTCCACGACTCAATATGGCAATGCCAACTTCAATACATATATATGTTTTAATGTAGGTACACTGTTAAGAGAGTGAGGTGCATGTAAAAGTTCATCTATCGCTAGTCCGATGTCCGAGTCGATGGTCAATTGTATTTCTGAGGGAAACGTTAGAAAATATTTATTGTGGTATTGCAATGAAACCTCTAAAGCTCGGGTTCTCTGTCGAAAACGTCTTCTATTACTTACACTAAGAACTTAGACGTACTCGTACACATGTTAATGAAACGCGTTAACTTGTACAAGAATACAGAATCGCATATAGGATAACAGCATTTGGATAAATTAATATTTAAAGCCATAATTATAATAACAAAACAGCTTCATACAGCTGTTTCTTTGCACTCATAGTTTGTCAATGAAACACCTAAAATATTAGCACCAGTTAGCAAACGTGGGCGTAACCTAAATTACAGCTGGTAAACAAAATATCAATCTATGAATCATTGTCATCTGCGATTGCATTTTGTTTAAGTAAATACTTAAAAATCTACTAAAACTATTTCATACTAGCTCGTCGTAGCGTAATGTTAGCTTATTCAGCCTACCTATCAAATTTTTCAGTTTTATAATAGTAGTATAGATACAGACTGACAACCACAGATACAAATTACGACTGTATTTACCATTTTGAAAGTTTTTTATCGTTCATGCTTCGGCTCATTACATAAATAAAATAAATCAGTTGAACTACAACTTATTAAGGTCTGATCTGTTTTATAATCACTTGTCAATCTAATAGGCAAGTAGGTGATCAGCCTCCTGCGCCTGACACACGCCGTCGACTTTTTTTTGGATCTAAGGCAAGCCGGTTCCTTTACGATGTTTTCCTTCACCGTTTGAGCTAATGTTAAATGCGCACATAAAAAGAAAGTCCATTGGTTGCACGGCCGGGGCTTGAACCTACGACATCAGGGATGAGAGTCGCACGCTGAAGCCACTAGGCCAACACTGCTCGCCTCATTAATTATATAAATTTAAAAATGTAATAAAACGCATAGGTCTGAACTAAGTTGGCTTTAAAAATATATTTTTTATTACAGTATCGAAAGATTTTAAAATGGAAACGCGATTTTCATATTTGAGTTTGCGGTGTAATTTTCTTTGCTCGGAATAAAATCTGAGAAGATTTTCATAAAATTTAAGGAAAACATTGCAAGTTGCAGTACATACAAGAGCCTCGTAATAAAGCTATGAAAATTTAATACGACGCGGTCCTTGAACGACATCAATAAAACATGAAATGTAAGCGACAATCCCTGTACGAGTGCTCTTTGTTGAATATATTTGTTTGATGGCTGAGGGTGACACATGAATTGTTAATTAAATGTCAAATCCATGTCCGACATATTAAAAAAAATCCCAAATCGCTTTGAACTTCTCGTGTAGTGATAACATCACTGATATTCTATTGGTATATTTCAAAAGCGTTAATATTTTTCATTAGAGCGTGGGTAGAATCAAATATAACAGATATAGTGTAGCCTTTTGGCCTTATGACTGTTCTGATTAAAAGAACTTCTAACATAACTCGTAGTACAGTAGTTATGGCCTGTTTTTTTCGAATTAAACCGCTAGTCTCGCGCTATAAGAAGGCAGAGTGATAATTTTCCAACAGCAGAAATGCCCCACACTCCATTAGGGTGTTATGTAAGATTAAATTTAAAGAACTTCGGAATATATTAAAACAAATCCGATGATTAATTTTAAGTGTACTTATACGAAATCGTTTGCAATCTCAAAAGCTGACATGTATAAATTTGTAGTGTAATTTATTATTATTACTTAATCATTTTGTCCTGTCTTCAGAGTAATTAAGCTTTGCATACGACCTTGCTACAGTTATGATTCGTCTTAAAAAGAAGTTGCACTAATAAGAGCAAGGTACTTTCAATACTAGATTATAATATTATTCTATTTACAAAATCATCGATTTGTTTCTGGACAGTGGGATAAAGTCTATATATAAATTGTAATTAGCTCTGAATGGCAAGAACCTTAATATTGAATAAATAGGAAGCCATATCTCTTTAGAATTTGGCTGCTCTTCATTTTAATTAACCTCCTACACTTTGGTAAAATAAATTTAAAAAATAAATTAGCACTATATCCTTTTTAGGTCTGGGCCTCAGATTTCTGTATCTGTTTCATGTGATCATTTGTCAATCTAATAGGCAAGTAGGTGATCAGCCTCCTGTCGACACACGCCGTCGACTTTTTTTGGGTCTAAGGCAAGCCGGTTTCCTTACGATGTTTTCCTTCACCGTTCGAGCAAATGATAATGTAGAAGAAAGTCCACATAGCCGGGGATCGAACCTACGACCTCAGGGATGAAAGTCGCATGCTGAAGCCACTAGGCCAACACTGCTCCCTGCATTTATGCCATAGTCATCAGTATCTAAAATAAATACTGTATTATATATGAAGTACCTCGTTATAAAAATGAAACATGTTTTTAGCAGAGAAATTAATACATCTGACCTTCGTTTTTGGCCATATAAAGTAAGTACATTAGTAGAACTACCAATAAAATAACCATTATCTAAATGTTTTAAACCCTGACCTTTGTATAGTGTTGCCAACATCAAAGCCTCCATCAGGGAATCTACTAATTGCCACCTTTGTCAATTGTATTTGGACCATCGCCAGTTATTCAACCCGAAAGGCGAAACTGCTTTTATCGCCTATAAAAAGGATTAATATTAGCCTTAATTTGAAGGTCAGATCTAGTCTAGATTCTGTCAAATTTACTGACAATTTCTTTGAATTCTTTCCTATAACAATCGAACACGAAATGAAAAAGCAGATACCACTTTATCATTAAGCTGTTTTATATTCTGTATTGATTTGCGAACGCTACATTTAAGATGGATAAAAGATGGACTGGACCTACTGAAAAGAGCTATACATCTCTTTTGCCGACGACAAAAGAAAAGATGGACAGATGACATAATAGAAGTAGCAGGAGAAACTGGATGAAAGTTGCTCAGAGAAATGTAAAAAATATGGATTAGGTTTTCACCAGAAATGGGGCCATATCATAGAACACTAACAAAACTAACCTTAATTTGTAGAACTTATAGTAAAAAATGTAAACTAAACAATTGTTGTATAGATTAATTAATAAAGTTTTAATAAAAATAAACGCATATAGAACAGTATGTATTAGCTGCAAAACCAATCTTAGATTTAGAGAACTGGATATTGTAGTTAAGTCAATCGATTTCAGATAGACCTCTAAAGTGGCACTTTGAACGCAAAAAAGGCAAGTGTAAAGTTCGTGCCCCGGTGTTTTTGTGGGGGGCCCCCCCCCCCTTTAAATAGCATATTTGTACATTGTTAAATAATATATCGACATTGTTTAGATAATTCTAAAAGTTAGTATCATGCCCGCAGCAGATTTACAAATATCGAAACCTTAGAATATTAATTAAAGAGTAATAAATTTACCCAACATTGTGAGATAAAAATTTATTTGTACATTATATAAATTAAAAAAATAAAATAATAATAACAATTTACTTTTTTTTTTTTTTTACCCCCCCCATATCTCGCCTGATGACGAGCCAAAAAGGCTATGTGTAAATGTATCATTCGTCATTTCGGATTGAGCAAGATATGCCCGTAGCAGATATCAAAGAAAATTGTAACCTCGCTGATGGAGGCCGGTATATTTTTGAAGGATAGAAAATGGCCAACATACAGTGGCCGTACACTGAATTAATTGAAAATGCCGTTTTTGCGTAATTTGTTTAAATATAACTTATATTATCAAAGGTTATCATTGTAATAACAATGGCCGCGAATAAAAATAATGGTTCTATATTACGTACAAGGAAGTTTTGAGCTATTTCTATCCTGATTTCATCACTGTAACAAAGATGAATTGTATTACAATTGTGAAGTAATTATTAAAAATAAGTACAACGATGTAATTGGCATCGTAATGAATGTTTATAGCATTATTTATGAGGGCTGCGTTGAATATCTCAATTTTATTTGGAATTTATGACATCGTTTTATAGACTCGAAACTAGAAGGCGCAATAAAAGAAGGCAATCTTTATTTTTGGATGCCTTCAAAGTATTGTATTTTGAATTAACTTTTTATTTCTTTTTCTGGGTTATGATACAATATTTATTATATACTTGATGTGATTATTATAAAGTGAATAATCATTACGATTATTTTCCAAGTCGAATCAAATTCAAGTAGAATTTTTTTTTGTTAAATCTTTTGATATTTATCAGGTATAAATATCGAATATGGTGATATCTGTGTGTATGTTACATAGACATATGAGTCGTCACAATAATAACTTTTAACCGCATGCAGGTTCAAAGTTGCTGAAAAACACTTCCTTAGTTTTAATTAACCATCAGAGTAGCCAAGTGGCTAACCATACTTCCTCTAACCGGCGGTTGTGTGATTGAATCCCGGCTGTAACCAATACACAACTTGTTTGTATATGGTGAAGGAAAACATCTTTAGGAAACCGGCATTTTCAATACCCTAAAAAGACTACTCGTGTCGGCCACAGACGGCTCAACACTTACGAAAAAAACTCTGGGTTAAATTTAGTGTGATTTGCGTAATAAACATAGTTTTAACATGTATGGCATGGCGAATATATCGATGCTAGTACATTTAACATAGTAGAATTGAATTCATGTAAATAAGATCAGATTACAACATATCCACTAC